AGCTCTGGACTGTTGGGGAAACTTTAGAAGGGGTAGAGAAGTCCTAACAACACGGGATCCGGGAGGATTCTAGAAGAGTGTCATAGCCAGCCCAGATGCAAGACACAACCTAGGTTGGTGGCTGCTCCATTACACAAGACTGTTACAGATTGAGGGAACTAGAGACTTCATTCTTTTTGCTGTTCCTACTCTGCACAAATTTTACATCTGTAAAGTAATTTACAGTTCACAGAGCATTTCTCCATATATATTTCCTTAGTTATGTATCTTTATACTTGTGTGAGTTCTGTTCCTCCTGATTAAAAGTTTTATTGATCATGTCTAGCTCTCAAGGGATTTTAGAATATGTTCTATTCATGTAGAATGTAGCATGGTATAACATAGAATACAGTAGACTCTACTGAACATATAAAAGGAGTAATCTTTAATCCCTAAAAATTAATCCCCTGATAAGAAAGCACAGAGAAAAACACTTATTGAAAACATAATGTTATTATTTTTGTTTCTTTGGCGGATTTGAAAATTGAAATATTTTACTAGAGCCATAACCTTAAAAATGCAGAGTTTAAATTTTTTTTTAATTATTTAGTTCCTAATGCTGCAATTGTCTGAGTCTCACTTTCTGCCTGTCACTTGTCTGAGCTTGAATATGTATCACTTGTAAATGATGTTTTTAGTTTTTAGATTACAGTTTGTGCTTGCTTAGTTTCATTTCAATGGGAAGGTTGTAGATTTGAACGTTTCATCTGAAATAGCTTTACATAAGCTCAGAATATCATGTAAATCTTTATAATATCCAAAATATTAAAAGTATAGTGTTCATGATCACATACTACAGATTTATATGTTTAAAGTGTTAAGTGTGAACAAAAAATTTTAAAAGTGTTAAGTGTGTTAAGTAGTGATAGAAATTGTGACTGTCAAGAACTTATCTCAATGCTCTAGCTTGCTTCTTATTGTTACTATAAAAGTGGAGTTGATAGGATATTAGGGTTGGAGTGGTTTTTATTTAAAGGACCAGATTAAGGTTAAAGAATAACAAAACATCTCAGATTTTTATATCTTGTACTCTGACCAAAAATAGTATACTCTTAATTGTGGTAAAATAATTAGAAATGAAAAGATGTCTCCAATTGTCAGAGTATGTATGATTACAGAATCTCTATAACTAGACTCCAAATGTTAATTCTTTAAGCCATCCTTCTGTAGATCCTATTCTCATTCTCTCACTGCTATTCTACAAAATGTTTTTTGGAGAGAATATATTCCTATGTGTTTTCTGTGTTTATATACATATATTCACATATACCCAATTTGGTGCTGCTTTTTCTGGTGACATGTATCAAGGCTTATTTTACTCATTTATTCTTTTGCATTCATTATTTCTACACTAAGATTCTTTCCTACAACTTCATTTTCCACATCTAAAAACTAAGTACTCGTAGGAAATCAAAGAGAAGGAAATTGTCTAGTGAAATGAGGAATAATCATGGCCCCTAAATGGACCCTAGTGCACTCATTTGTGCAAGGTAGGTTTCATTTAAATATTTACTGAGAAATTTGCAACTCAACAAATTAGATATTGAATCTAATTTTATCCCACAAAAGCCAAATTCAGTTCTGCAATTATAATGGTGAAAGCTTAAAATTTTGCTCTTATAGTTTTAACATTGCAATGAAAGTGGCCGTATGTGCATTTTATAAAGTGCATATCTGAATATTAATAGGTCCATTTCACATGATTCAAGAATTTTGGTTTTTATAAAACTTTGTAGTATACTATAAATACTTAGGAGCATTTCTCTGTTTAAAAAATAGTCTGACACTTTTTTTATTTTTAAAGATTTTATTTATTTATTTGACAGAGAGATACATAGCGAGAGAGGGAACACAAGCAGGGGGAGACAGAGAGGGAGAAGCAGGCTTCCCACGGAGCAGGGAGCTCGATGCAGGGCTCGATCCCAGGATTCTGGGATCATGACCTGAACCGAAAAAAAAGTTGTCTATAATGTTAGGACTCCTCATGTATAATTAGGGACTACCCTTCTTCTGGCAGACCAGAAGAGTGGACAAAATCCGCTCTGGCACTAGTTAGTGTCTACTGGATGCCTTTAAGTAGGTCATCTCAGAAAGCCAAGCAATGTTCCCATCAGATCACTTGATCTCTAAGCATGCAAAATACGGCTCTCCATATACACTAATGCAAGATACATTCTTGGTGAAGGACATGTTTGTAATAATTTTATGTTTGTAATGAATTTTATAATAATTCCTGAAATGGTTAAATTTATTATTTAATTCTTGTAAGCATGACTGAGTAGTAAATAACGCCTGGGAACTTCAGTCTGGCCATGCCACTACATGAAAGGAACATGGCTAACAGCATTTTAAAAGATACATTTCAGAATACAAGAAGCTTACAAAAGAGATTCCTACAGTTTAGTTAACATAGACTCCCTACTCCTACCCTGGTCTTCAAAGTCTTCCTATCCCCTAGTAGTGCTGCAAAGCTAGTCATCCAGTCTGTGTTTTTGGAGTGCCAGCGCCCCGTGACTATAAAGCAGTAAGGCATCATAAGTCAGTGCCCTCCCTCCCCGAAGGTGTGGTACTGAGAATATTTATAGACCAACAGTTCATTAAGGAAAAATGATTTATTGTTATGGTTTTAAGAGAGGATAATCAATATTACATTAATTTTTCTCACAGAAGGAACTCAAGAGTTGAAAAAAGGAAAGGGAACATGGACTCATGAAATAATACAGGAACAGTTATGAAGCACAACCAAAGGATGGAAATTCAACTTGAAATTTATTTACTGTCTTACAGCCACTGGCAGAAATAGTTATGAAACAGTAAATTCATGGGACGCATGGGTCATTCAGTTGGTTAAGCATCTGCCTTTGGCTCAAGAGTCTTGGGATCGAGTTCTGTATTGGGCTCCTTGCTCAGAGAGGAACCTGTTTCTCCCTCTGCCAGCCACTCCCCCATGCTTGTGCATTCTCTCTCTCTCTCTCTCACACACAAATAAATAAATAATCTTAAAAAAATAAAAGAAACAGTAAATTCATTCAATGTGGGATGTGAAATTGTTATTGCATGGCATAACATCCAAGTGACTGAGTTCTCTGTCTACTAAATAGTCTTATTTCAACTTTGTACTTTTCTTTGTAAGGTAAAAACCATATTGCCTCTGTACATTTGAGTCCTCTCCTTGGCCTTGTTGGTTTTATTTCGTGTCCTGTACATTGCAATGCCAGGTTTGTAATTTGTTCAAGTTAACTTCGGGGAAATCCCTCAAAAATTTAACATGGTGGTTCCATAACAATACAACAAAAAGTTCTTCAGTGCCCTTGGAAAATAGCAGTTCTTCTTAAGTAACCATTTAACTGTTCATTAAATTTAAATAGAACTAGACAAAACCATTGTTTGATGTCTTCTAAAATCTTTTCAAATCACATTTATTATAAACCAGAAGAATTTTTTTTTAATTATCTTATTTACCATGAGACTTCCTTGTGGTAGAATGGAATCATTTTTTTAAAGTACTAGTAAATATTTGGATTTTCAATCCCAAAACTCTTTCCATTAATTATGGTATTATTTCATACTCATGTTCAATGTGTACAAAGGTGAACAAAGTAGAGGTCTTCTGTATCATGCCTACTTCTCCAGGTAAACATTACCACAAGAACAATGCACAACCTCCTCTCCATCAAGTGGCCATTTTTCCTTCTTTGTCTCAGCATGACCTTCCCATTCTTCCAGCCCATCATGTTCATCCTGGTTCTACAAGCCTTGTTCCTGTGTTGCCATTTGACTATCTCATTCATTTATTCATCCCTTTTTCTTTTAACAATCTCTACTGAACACCTTGCAGCGCAAGGAGTAATTCATTTTGTAAAGTTCCTGTTCTCCAGTTTGCAAACTAGTAAAAAAGAATCCCTCATATATATCCATTGTGTGCCATCATACATCCCCTGTCTCCCCCAGCTCAGTTCTAGTGTTTCCCATGGTTTGGTTTCTATAGTGCCAAGAAAAAGCCACCAAACCATTCTGACTGGTTCCAATAAAATTCATACATTCTAGCCTAATCTAAGCTCTCATGGATATATAAAAGCTTTCATGTGGTTTTTACTGACTCTTAACACATTCTTCGTAGCAGAATTTCTTTACTCTTCTCAAGCTTCCCGGCCACTGGCTCCCAGGAAGTGATGCACTTTTTATTACCAGGAGTAAGGCAACTTCTGATATGAGTATCTTGGGATTCCTTCTGTATTTTCACTCATTCCCTTGTCCATCATTTCTTAAGAAAAAGTTCTTCCTCCTTGCTGAAGTTACTATGCATGTATGTTGGGTTTTTCCCCCCCATCTCCTGTTTCCTTCAGCACATTTTTTCATCAGTTTTCCCCACCATCATTTGCAACATCAGTCTCTTGTCATTCTGCAGGCTTATTATCCACTAACATCATGCTCAGATATTCCACCCTGCCACAAGGATTCAGATAACTCGTTCAATATTTTTTTTTTTTACATTAAAAAGTTTGTCGTTTTGTATGTTTTGGGGAGTGGGTGGAGAGAGGTCTGTAGTTTTCATCAAATTCTAAAAAATGAATCTGTGACTCCACAATATTAAGAACCACTGCTGTAAATGTAGTCGGAGACCAGGTTATTAAAGGCTTTGAGTACCAAGCTAAGGAGGTTTTAAATTGTATCCTGAAGACTTTATGCTCAGATTTTCATTTCTGGAATGTTCCTAACATGTCACACAGCTGGCAAGTAGTAAGCTGAGATTCAAGCCCAGATAATCTGGTGTCAGAGTCCAGGTTCTTAACCAGTATGTCAAACTGCCTCAAAATTGGAATCACGTTGTTTGAATATCGTCCAGCAATTGGTAAATTTAAAGCAATATATAAAATGTTCTAGTCTCATAAATGTAATATTTGATTTGTGTGGAACAGTTAATGCATTTGCTTTCTAATGTTTTTGTTTAATCCTTTTAGAACCAATTCGAAGATATAAAACTTACCACAGTGATATCTTTAGTACCTCCAGTGAAAGTCCATCTGTCATTTCCTCTGAATCAGATTTCCGACAAGGTGAGAGACATCTGGATAACCAAAATGTTTTTAAGAAACCATGAATGTCCTTCTTTTTCAGTAATGTTAAGATATAAGGTGTCAAAAGAATAATTCTATATAAAATTTAAAAATTCTAAAAAGCTGCTGGTTACTCATTTTAAGAGTATTATAGGAGCTTAATAACAGTTTCATCAAAGAATAATGTAGTCATTTTCATAATAGGAATTAATTCATTGTCTTTAAAAATAATGTGATTTATCCCTGAAGAGTTTAATGACATTATGTCATTAATTTGATGGTATAAATGTTATTTGTAAAAATTACCTTAGTGTATCTGCTAAATGTTTGAGTTTTAAATAAGGCTACTTCATATTTTTATCACCTGTGCTATTATTTTTTTTTTCATTCCTTTTTTCATTCTTTAATTAGTACGAAAAAGTGAAGCTTCCAAGAGGTTTGAATCTAACAATGGTCTCCCAGGGGTAGGTGAAAACCCAAGTCAAGGCCAGTCACAGAGACCAAGGTATGTGATATGAAAAAATAGTAATAATGCCAGTGACAGGTGTTTTGTTTTTCTTTATTAGAATCAAGAAGTTTTCAAAATTATCCTCTTTTCTCTATTTTCTCCATTTTCCTTTTTTCTTTACCTCTTTAAGTTCTTGGAAATTCATTTAATTATGTGAAAGACATTGTAGTAGTTTGAGTTTGAGTTATTGGAATCTTTTAAAATTAGAACTAGCGGGGCACCTGGGTGGCTCAGTCGTTGAGCGTCTGCCTTTGGCTCCGGTCATGATCTTAGAGTCCTGGGTTCGAGCCCCACATCGGGCTCCCTGCTCAGCAGGAAGCCTGCTTCTCCTTCTCCCACTCCCCCTGCTTGTGTTCCCTCTCTCGCTATGTCTGTCTCGCTGTGTCAAATAAATAAAATATTTAAAAAATAAATAAATAAAATTAAGATTGGCTCTGATTATTTATAGTTTGTGCTTGAAATTAAAATTGTCAATATGTATATAAAATAATGTATTAACAGGAAGTTCTGAGGGGATGGCGTCAAGGATCTGCGAGAAGATAATAAGCCTTGATTTCTAAGAGAATAATTTCTCTTGAAACATTGAACAGGCTCAACAAGCAGGTTTTCAGGGAGTATTTTTTGTTGAATGAATAATGAGTAGGTTACTACTAAGTAAGCTATTATGTAAAAAGTTAATTATTCACTACATATTTACTGGCTTAAAAGAGGTTATCTTGTATTTTTTTTTAAAGTCCAGTTTGGGCTATTTCAAGTTCATTTTTATACTGAAAGATTCAGCTTGGGTGTTAGGTATTATTCTTGTGCTGTGCTTAGGATGGTGGTATTATAGCTATATATTGATTTACTTTGTTTAAACTGAAAATTGTCAAGTCAATACTGAATATTTTGATGTGTATCCTTTTCATGTATGCACAAGTCCCTTACATGAATAAAAGCATATTGTTAATGTTAGACATTTATTTGAAATTTGTAATGTGTTATTACAGAACTAGAAGTTGCTTCAGAATTTACTCCCAAACTATGGAAATCCTTTTAAATTTGATATCTTAATTTGTTTAATTCAAGTGTCACCATATACAAAAGAATCATTTGGAGATTAACAAAAACTTGTCCCTTAGCTAATTAATTCTGGCAGACACTGTTTCACACCCGTAAACTATTAATAGACCAGGTAACCGTAGCCATGTGATTAAAACAGACAATTTATCTAGGGTTTAGACTCCAAGTAATTAAATACATTGCACTAAAGTTATTCCTTTTAATATTGCAGTTTTTATTAAATTTATGTCTTTTTCTCTCCTCTTGTGCCTTTTAAAATAGTCCATGATATTTTATTTCCTCCGAGGAAAGCTCTAATAAGTATTCATTTACCTAAAGCAGTATTTTATTTGCATAGTAGGATTTTATATTACTAGGACCCCATTGTGGTGATAACCCTGATTTGGTAATTTTGAACAAAGAGATAAGAGACAAAGATAGGTGTATGTTTGATGTTATACAGTTTTCTTTTTTTTTTATTAACATTCTTAGTTTATTGATCCTCTCATGAAAAATCTGCACAACCACCACAGATAAAGCCACTGCAGCATCTTTACTCCTTCTGTTGTCCAATCTCCAGCTCACTTTTTGCCAGCACCAACGTTGGCTTTTGCAGTCCCCCTGACTTTCTTCATTCTGTTCTTGCGTTCCTTTCGCTGTTTTCTTGATGTCCTTTTCTTCTTATACAGGCCATGTCTTCCAAGTCTGTGTTTGGGTTCATTTTTCTTTGCATAATCCAAGGAATCATAAATCATGCCAAAGCCGGTTGTTTTGCCACCACCAAAATGGGTTCTGAATCCAAACACAAATATGACATCTGGTGTGGTCTTGTACATTTTGGCTAGTTTTTCCTGAATTTCTGTCTTAGGTACCGTTGCCTTTCCAGGGTGAAGAACATCAATGACCATCTGTTTCCGCTGAAGTAGTCGGTTAGTCATGAACTTCTTGGTCCGGATAGTTACTGTGTTGTTCATGGTGGCGGCGAGCGTTATAGAGTTTTCTTAAAGACACAAAAGCATTTTGTGATGAACAGCAGTAGGAAGCAAATATTGAAATGCAGCCGGCACTGTGGTGAATTGAGGGAGTCACTCCTCACTATATATTTAATTTGGAGAAAATTTATATAAATAGTATGATGCTCTTTAGCTTGATGAAAACATGAGTAAAGACAACTGGAGAATTATTGGGCTTATGTATTAAAAATTGATTTGTTAGTTGTTTAAAAACATATTCCTCCAAATAAAATTAAATCATTTTGTGAGTCTTATTTCAATTTTCTTAATAAGTTACCTCAAAAGATTATGAGAGAATATTTGTTTCAACTGTTTCCAAGTTTTATTTTTAGGAGACATTAACTTTATTTTTTTAAAGATTTTATTTATTTATTTGACAGAGGGAGACACAGCGAGAGAGGGAACACAAGCAGGGGGAATGGGAGAGGGAGAAGCAGGCTTCCCGCGGAGCAGGGGGCCAGATGCAGGGCTTGATCCCAGGACCGTGGGATCACGACCTGAGCCGAAGGCAGATACTTAACGACTGAGCCATCCAGGTGCCCCTAGGAGACATTAACTTTAAAGTCACTTTAGTTCATTAAATCATGTTCTAATGATAAACTATCTTTTATTTCACACTTTAAGAGGGAAAAAAAAACTCAATGTGGCATTCATAGCATCTCCATTAGATAAAGACATACACAAAAAAATATTTCAAGGAAAAGTAGGTTGTTAAATCTGTGTATATGTTATATTTAATATAAGATGCTAAATTCTACTTCCTTTAGACAAGTCCCATCCCCCTTTTCTGCCCACCGACAAACACATTAAGTAAAATACTTTAAATTCCTTATTCAAGTGCAGAATTTTCTGAATGTGAACAAAGGTTTCTAATAACATCCTTAGCATGCTGGCACACAATTAGGAGGTCCTATTTTGTTCTTTAGGTCATATATTTGTGAGATCTATAAATAGTGCTGTATTTAGACATGTTGCATGCTTCTTTATAAAAATTTCCATTCCCTTTAGCTAGAATGAAATGGAAAAACAGATCCAGGCAGTGCTGTTGATTTGTATCATAGGGGGTAGGGGGAAATTAACAGGAAATTATGAGTCAGATACAGCAGAATGAGTAACTTTTTGATTCTGAGTTATCAAAAGTGTCTTTCAGTGACCAAAAAGGATATTCAAAGCTGTTTTCCAAAGAACATCTCTAAGTTTTTTCTGTGTTAACTTTTGAAGTACAGTTTATACATAGTACAATTCCCAGTGTTTTTGTGCCTATCTGCTTGAGGAGGTAGCCTATTTTTCCGACTTAACTTTGAACAAGAAGGCTAATATATTTAATGAAACCAACAGGTGCAAGTTAAAATGTATAGATTCAGATTCTTATTATTATCCTTGACCCCCCATTAAGTGAAAGAGCCATAAAATTCCATTCTGTCATTTGCTCAAGAAATGATTGCTGTGCACCTACCATGTACTGGGAACTTTTAGGTACTGGAGATAGAGTCATGAAAAAAAAAAAACAAGAAAACGGGTCCCTCAAAGTAATTTCTAGGGCTGAGAGATAGCCAGTAAACCATTAAAAAACAAGTAAGTAAATGCACCATCAGATAATGATGGTGCTTTAAAGAAAAGCAGGCTAAGGGGATAGAGAGTACACATAGAGGCAAACAGTGATCAACAAAATGAAAAGTCAACCTACTGATGGGGAGAAGATATTTATAAGTGATATTTCTGATAAGGGATCATACCCAAGATGTATAAATTATATACAACTCAACACCAAAAAAAGTCAAATGATCCAATTTAAAAATGGGCAGAGGATCAGAATAGACATTTTTCCAAAGAACACATACAGATGGCCAGTAGGCACATGAAAAGATGCTCAACATCATTAATCATCAGGGAAATGCAAATCAAAACCACAATGCAGTATCACCTTACACCTGCCAGAATGCCTAAAAGTAAGAAGACAAGAAACAAGTGTTGGCGAGGATGTGGAGAAAAAGGAATCCCCATGCACAGTTGGTGGGAATGTAAAGTGGTGCAACCACTGTGGAAAACAGTATGGAGGTTCCTCAAAAAATTAAAAATAGAAATACCATATGATCCAATAATTCCACTAGTGGATATTTACCCAAAGGAAATGAAAACACCAATTTAAAAATATATTTGCACCTCTATGTTTACTACAACACTATTTACAATAGCCAAGATGTGGAAGCAACCCAAGTGCCCATCAGTAGATGAATGGATAAAGAAGACACACACACACACACACACACACACACCCTGGAATATTACTCAGCCGTAAAAAAGAATGAGATCTTGCCATTTGCGACAACATGGATGGACCCAGAGGGTATTATGCTAAGTGGAAAAAAGTCAAGGACAAATGCCATATGATTTCATTTATATGTGGAATCTAAAAAACAAAACAAATGAACTAACAAAACAGAAACCGACTTATTAATACAGAGAACAAACTTGATTGTGAAAGTGGGGAGGGAGTGAAATAACTGAAGGGGATTAAGAGGTACAGTCTTCCAGTTATAAAATAAGTTAAGTCACAGAAATAGAAAATACAACATTGGGAAGAAGTAATACTGTAATAACTTTGTATGGTGACTACACTTAACATTAGCATTGAGTGATACAGAATTGTCATATTACCATGTTGTTCACCTGAAACTAATATACCATTGTATATCAACTACACTTCAATAATAAAAATTTTAATTGGAAAAGACAGTAAAAAAAAAAAAAAAAGAAAGCAGACTTAAGGGATAGAGAGTGCAGGGTTGTGATGTCCAAGTTCTTTTATACATAGGTAGGGTGATTAGAGGAGGCCTCTCCCAAGGATTGTATTTGGACAGAAAACTATTTTAAGTGTTGGGGTGAACTGTGCATATAGCAGGAGACGGGGTGCCTTCCAGACAAAAGGAATGACAAGAGCAAAGTCCTTGAGTTATGGGAGATGTGTTGCATGTCAGAGGAATACAGGAAGGACAGTGTGGGTGCAGCAGGATGAGAGAAAGGCAGAGTGGGTAGTAACCAGAATCCAAACCATGTCATACCTCAGAAGCTTAAGTGAACAATTTGGATGTATGATGGGAAGCCATTGAGTGGCTTGAAAACATAGATCTAATTTACATTTAATGGGATTACTCTGCTCTGTTCTTTGAAGAACAGTTAACAAGAGTAAAAGCCCAGTTGGAAGTAATAAGATCTAGCCCCACATCCATTTGGATGGATTTAGCCCAGATTAGATTGCTAGTGATAGAGAAGAGTCAGATGTAGATATTTTCAAGGTTGGGCTTTCAGGATTTGCTGCCCAATCAGATAGGGGATTTTTTAGGATTGAGGAATCAAGAATGACTCCCAGTTACGTTCTAAGCAACTGGTGAATGATTGAGAAAAGGTTGGACAAGGAGAAAAATATCAAGAATCTGATTTGAGACATAGTAGCCTAAAGATGCATATTAACATCCAAGTAGAACACTCACCTAGGCAAATAAAATTAGAATTCAGAGGAGAGACTGAATTATAGGCATATATAAAGTAATTAAGGCCATGTAACTAGATAAGATCATGTAGGTATGGAGTATATATGGAGACTAGGAAAATCTGGAGATCTGAGCACTATTGTAGTCTAAAACTAGGAGATTAGGAATGAAGGAGGTGCCAACAAAAGAGACCAAGAAGGAAAAGCCAGTAAAGTAGAAGGAAAATAAAAAGAGCATGGTTTTCCAGAAGGGAAATGTTTTAAGACTATGGAAGGACTACACCTAGGTAGCTCAGTCATTTAAACGTCTGGCTCTTGATTTCAGCTCAAGTCATGATCCTCAGGGTCACGAGATGGAGCCCCATTTCAGGCGCCATGCTGCATGTGGAGCCTGCTTAGGATTCTCTCTCTCCCTCTGTCCCTCCCCACCTCTGAAACAAAACAAAAAGAGTAGGAAGGACTGAGCAACTGTGTCTTTTGGTGCTTAGAGGTCAAGTAAAATGAAAATTGAGAATTATCCTTTGGCTTTGATAACGAGTTCACTCATTTTTGTGAACAGCTTTGGTGGAATAGTAGGGACTAAAACTACTGGTCTGCGTCCAAGAGAGTGGGAGATGAAGTAGAGGTAAAAAAAACTTAAATGGCAGTTTGAAGAGATTTACCCTAAAAAACAGAAGGAAAGAATGGGATGAGTCCAAAAGGGGATGTATAACCAAAGGAGGATTTTTTTTGTTCTGAGTAAGAAATAGTATATCATGTTTGTAGACTAGTGAGAATAACATAGTGTATGATATTAGGGATGCACATGAGGGGATAACTGCAGGGGCAAAGTCTCTGACTAGTAGGAGAGGGGATGGAATTCCATGCCCAGGAGAGGTATCAAGCCTCTGTAAGGGTGCAGGAGAGCCATCGTGGTTACCGAAAAGAAGACAAAAACATATGGATGGAGATCTGGAAAGTTTGGTGGTAGAAGGATGAGGAAGTTATTTCCTGATTGCTGCTTAGTTCACCAAGAAAACTGAGGAAAGATCGTCAGTAGAGAGAACAAGGGAGAGAGTATTTGAGCTTTGAGAAGAAAAGGGAAGGAAGAAGGTATAAAATAGTTCTCTAAGAAAATGAGTTGCCAGATAGTGCTGAGAGCCCAGTGAGATCAGTCAGCATGGTTCTGCAGTTTCATGAGAGTTGAGATTGTCTGCAAAGGAGTGATTTTAATGATGGGCCTTGGAATTCAAGCAGTGTAAGGGCAAGAGAAGGGTAATAGAGAAAGTGCTGGAGTCAATGAATTATTTCAAGAAGGATATTAGAGGTAGTGAGCTAAAAAAAATAAGATTAGATAGAGAAGCCATTGGAGGGTAGAAATAGGACATTTTCGAGGTAGTGCAATTATTATTTATCAGCAGCATAACCATGGGAGTAGATGGCTGGCTGTCCGGGGGCGGGGGGTGGGGGCAGAGTGTTGGGAGGACTCCTCAGTCTGTATAACACCATCTTGAATGATGACAGGACTACTGACAGTGGAAAGGACTGAGTCAGGTACTTAAATCTTTAATGAATAAGGGAGACTTGACCAGTAGGATAATTAAATGTCTAGAGCAAAAGCAGAGCAGTGGATTAAGTGATTTCATAGCATGTATTTCAGGGAAGTTGGGAGCTATTATAGGTCAGCAATGGTCTGGAAGCTGAAATAAGAATTAAGAGAAATCTAGGGGCACCTGAGTGGCAAAGTCAGTTGAGCATCCAACTCTTGGTTTTGGCTAGGGTTGTAGTCTCAGGATCGTGAGATCTAGCCCCACATCAGGCTGCATGCTCAGCACGGAGTCTGCTTCAGATTGTCTCTCCCTCTCTCTGCCCTCCTGCTTGTGCTTGCTCTTTCTCTCTCTCTCAAATAAATAAATCTTAAATAAAGAAGGGGAATCTCTATCCTATTTCCAGGCCCAGTGGTACAGGACTATAAGAATAAACAGCCCCATCTGAAGAGAACTGCAGTGGAAGCAGTTTTCAGAGGATGCTAGAATGTTTAGAGAAGAGGTGGAGCATGTAGATCTATCCAGTGGAAATTGGACAGCCTACTATTATCAGTAGTTTAAAAGTAGGATTGAAATGTTACTGCAACGGTTCTTCTCAGAAGACAAAATAAAAATTGTTTAAATTCTTGATCCCTTACTTAACCTGTTTTTCTTTCTTGATTAGGTTAAAATAATTGTTTCCGTCTCGTTTCTACACAGTAGACAATATGAAACACCCCTTGAAGGCAATGTAATTAATCAAGAGATTATGCTAAAACGGCAAGAAGAAGAAATGATGCAGCTGCAAGCCAGAATGGCCCTTAGACAGTCTCGGCTGAGCCTGTATCCAGGAGACACAATCAAAGCCTCTATGCTTGACATCAGCAGGGATCCCTTAAGAGAAATGGCCCTTGAAACAGCCATGACCCAAAGAAAACTGAGGGTAAGTTAATTCTCAGATTACTGCATTTAAACTAGGTCTCACAGGGAAATTTTTTTTTTTTTTTAAGTTTTTACTTAAATTCCAGTTAGTTGAGCACCTGGGTGGCTCAGTCAGTTAAGCATCTGCCTTCAGCTCAGGTCACGATCTTGGGGTCCTGGGATCAAGTTCCGCATAGGGCTCCCTCCTCAGCTGGGAGTCTGCTGCTTCCTCTCCCTCTGCCCCTCCCCACTGCTCATGCTCTCGCTCTCAAATAAATCTCTCAAATAAATAAATAAAATCTTTAAAAAAAAATTCCAGTTAGTTAACTTACACATAGGAACATGTTATGCAAAACACTTTTAAATTCGTAGGTGTCCTGAAATTCCCTATAGATGAAATCGAAATCCCATATTAATTCCACTGGTGTTAAATGTCAGTTGATATTATGTTGGTTGATATTAAACTAAATATTTAGCTGTTTCATTATTTCATTTTTAAAATAACATTAGATGGATTTAGAATAAGATATTCTAAATATACTGTATATTTTTAAAGTATATTTATGATCCTTAAAGTCAACTGGATTTATTCAGTATTGTAGGGGATTATCTCTTAATATTAAGGAATTTATTATCTCTGAAACCAAGAAAATCAGGAATAGAGTTCAGGATTGATTCAGAAACTCAGGAATTATCAAGTACATTCCATCTTTCTGCTCTGCCTTTCTCAGAATGTTGATAGTGATTTACTTTGTAATCAAAAGATGATCACATGAGCTTCAAGCATTGTATCTTTGTATTACAATATTGAAAGACAAAAGAAACAAATCTGCATCCTGTATGGGGGGGGATTTTTTTTAATGTGTTTAGTTAGTTTACTTTTCTTTCAACATATGCCCTATATAAATATATATATATATATATATATATATGTATATATATATATTTTAGGATTTTTATTCATTTGACAGAGAGAGACACAGTGAGAGAGGGAACACAAGCAGGGGGAGTGGGAGAGGGAGAAGCAGGCTTCCCGCGGAGCAGGGAGCCCGATGCGGGGCTCAATCCCAGGACCCTGGGACCATGACCTGACCCGAAGGCAGACGCTTAACGACTGAGCCACCCAGGCACCCTGTCCTATAAATTTTTATAAACATAAGCTCAAAATTAACAGTCTTCTCATGTAAAATATCTTGAACATTTTACACCTTGTATATTATTATTGTTAAGGGCTGTAAGGTACTTCATTATGTGAATTTATCATGTACCATGATTTCTTCAATCAGTTTCCAATTATTGGACATTGAAAATATTTTTTTTCTTTTAAAGTTTTATTTATTTGAGAGAGAGCAGGAGTGGGGGATGGGAGGAGAGAGGGAGAGGAAGAAGCAGACTCCCTGCTGAGCAGGGAGCCTGATGCGGGACTCCAATACGGGCTCAATCCCAGGACCCTGAGATTAGGACCTGAGCCGAAGGCAGATGCGTAACCACCTGAACCACCCAGGCGCCGCTGGACATTGAAAATATTTCTAATTTGTTGTTGCTGTTGCAAGCAATGCTCTGATGAACATCCCTTTAGCTAAATCTTTGCGGGTAGCTTCCTCCAAGTAGAATAGCCAAGTCAAAGGCAAGCGCATTTTAAGACATTTGTTACATATTGTCAAATTGCCCTTCACAATGTTTGTACAAATGTATGCTTCCTGTGTTCATGCCTGATTCACCATATTCTTACCTCCTCTGGTTATTGTCATTCTTTTTTTTATCATCACCAATTTGATAGGTGAGGCAGTATCTTGTTTGTATTGTTCCTATACAAATAATTCTTCAAACATGAAATACATAGTAGTAAAAGTGATAAAATCTAGGATGAATTTTTTTTTTTTAGTTCTGTACTTGTGTATTATCCACATTCTGTTTTGGGTTTTTGTTTTGTTTTGTTTTTTGCTTGTTTCAAAGAATTGTCTCAAAAGCATATTTGTATTACCTAGGGTTGATAGAATTCAAATTTCCCTCACAGTTTTCTAAGGAGAAGAAACAGTACTGGGTGGTAAAAATTGTTTGAACCACAAATTCAAAGACTTGGTTTCTATTGTTAATAATGCTGTTATATGATTTTAGGCACATTTTTAAACCACTTTGTTCTTTATTGTGCTAATTTTTTAAATGTGGAATTGGGTTGTAATTTATAAGATATTGTCAACTTTTAAAATTGTTAGATTCCAATAAAATATGATTAAGCTGAAAGGAAGAAACTCAATAGGCCCTCATCGATTTATCATTATCACCAATATCTTTGTCAAAATTAAGAACTAGGCAAGATATCATACAAAATAATGTGGGCTTCCAGTAATTAAACGCATGTATACACTATAACGAGCACATATATATATATGTATATACACCTTTTTCCTAAATCATAATTTTAGAGAGCTAATGTAGAACATAGCTTATTAGAGATTCATAAATGGTATCCTCTATCTTCACAGTATGCCACTGTTATGCGCCATCTCACTAAAAACCTGTGTTTCCTTTTAGGCAGTCAGTTTCTGGCTATTTCAAAAACAAACATCTCTTCATCAAAGACATACTATATCAGTGACTACAGAATGTGAACTGGTGGTCATTAAAGGACCACGTGTTTTTTCTGAAAAGAGCAGGAAGGGTATGTTTTTAGTGCTGAGGAACAGTGCTAGTATTTGAAGGAACAATTACACCATTTAATTAATGTTCTTTCCCAAAACATAAGTATTTGATTTTTTCTAGGTTACTTTTGGTGCAGAGACATTTTAACTTGTTTATACACTGTAGCTTTAGTTGATCTGTATTAGATTCTGTATTCCCCAAGGCAGACCATTTTCTTTTTTTCTGCTCTATTTCTTTTCTCATTTAAAATGTGTCCTACTGGCTGGTTGAGTATTAACAAACCCTTAAAGTTAATGTTTTACTTAAATGGTATCTGTCACATGTTCCACACTTGGTTAATTGGATAGAATTCCCACATCAAGCAACCAAAGAAGAAACCAACAAAAATAAAACCAGTAAACTTCCTGAGTGCAAACTCATGCATGCACATTACTGCACATGCGCTCATGCGTGCACACATGCACACACACACACACACACACACACACACACACACACACACACACCACCTGCCTTTGGCCTCAAGATTAGCCCTTTCATTTTACTTTTTGCCCATTTGCACATTATCTTTCAGTCTGTTCTGAATCCTGCTCCCACCTGGAATCTAACTTTTTTTAAGTTATTTCCTCAACCAGTTATCACTTTTGGCAGAAACTTCTGGATATACAAGAGGTACAGGCAAAAAGTAGATTAAGAAGCAGTAAATGAAGTGTGTGGACTCCACTTTCCCCAGCTACTGAGTCTCCCCTGTCTCCTGAGATAATGTTTTCTCACTGGGGGTAGCAATAGGGAACAAAGGCTGATATCTGTAATATCCCTGTCAACTATTTAGAAAAAAAACAAGACAGTGAGTGTCACAGAGTTCCAAGCACATGATTATGAATGGATATGTGTATTTTGTAATTACAAAGTAGATGTCCTTTAACTATGATTTATAGAATACGTGAAATATCACTCTCTAAAACAAAATGAGATTGTGTTCAATCACTTCACACCTTAGCAGTACTAAACCAAATCCTTATCATGAGCTTGATAACTCTATATTACTTCAGTAATTAAGGCTACTATTTTTTTTTTGACAGTCTGAGTTTATCTGAAGGCCAAAAAATGCAAAATTTGTAAAACAGTATGAAGCAAGTCTTTACATTTGACATCACTGGTAAAAAATGAAACTGAGGAAGAACTTCTATTTACATTAGGTGTAAGGCATATTCCATTCCTGTCCTTCGTAAAAGCCACCATACTTCTTTATTAAATGTTGCTACATTTGTTTCAGATCACCTAGTTCTATTGTGGTGGCTTTACATGTAATTTATTATTATTATTATTATTATTATTATATTTGCCTTCTAAGGAAAGACCTAGATTAAAAGGTAAAAACTGTTGATTCTACTTATGTAATTCGCAGAATTTCTTTGGCCCTGAGTTTGTGAAGATGACGATTGAGCCATTCATATCTTTGGATTTGCCACGGTCTATCCTTGTAAGTAATAAAACCAACTTGTGTCACTCTTAGAAAATAATTTCAGTAATGACTTTTTAAAAAAAAGTTAAAATTCTTATAATGTTTACTTTAATGGATGTCATTCATTTTCTTTTTTTCAATTGTAGGCCAAGAAAGGAAAGAATGAAGATAACCGAAGAAAAGTAAACATAATGCTTCTGAGTGGGCAGAGACTGGAACTGACTTGTGATACCAAAACTATATGTAAAGATGTGTTTGATATGATTGTGGCCCACATTGGCTTAGTGGAACATCATTTGTTTGCTTTAGCTACCCTCAAAGGTACCAAGATATTTTAAGTTCAGGGTGTAGTATGGAAACTTGGCAACAAGCTTTCATACCTGTTATTGCCCAGCTTGTTTTGGGAAATGTTAACTACATGAACATGTCAGCATTGAGAAGGTAGGAGTTGTGAACTCCCTTCTCCTAACTAGGTTCATTGTGTTTTTGTTTTTGTTTTTTAAGATTTTATGTATTTATTTGTCAGAAAGAGACACAGCGAGAGAAGGAACACAAGCAGGGGGAGTGGGAGAGGGAGAAGCAGGCTTCCCGCTGAGCAGGGAGCCCGATGCTGGGCTCAATTCCAGGACCCTGAGATCATGACCTGAGCCGAAGGCAGGTGCTTAATGACTGAGCCGCCCAGGCGCCCCTAGGTTCATTGTTTTAATAGCTGTGTCTTTTAGCATCTTCTATACCTGACCTTTAAGCTCAGTATACTAAAGTGGATTTTAATTATTATATTTTGGGGACCGTTGTATATGTCAGTTGCCTATATATATACTCTAGAAATTAGTATTCTGCTAATCTGAATTTAAATATATAGCAGGATCCTATCTGAATCTCCACATCAGTTTCTTTAGCCTACTATCTTAAAAGCATAGTGTCTTTTAAATGTTTTCACTTCGTGACTGCAAATACATCATTTTACATATTTTTTAAACTTTACATGCACTGAACTTTGTGGCATTCCCAGTGGCCTCAGAGCAGAGCTTCAGTAGAAATCACTCCTATTTATCAGTTAGAATTTCCATAGCTTCTTATTGTTTTAGAGTTGGGCTTCAATAAATCATTGTATTTATAAATTATTCTTCAATATTTCAAATTCCTATTTACCTCAAAATTTAACTTACCTTAGGCAACAGAGTACCATAAATTGCAGTTGAGGATCAAATTATCTTAAAACCCTACAAGATTAGGATAATGTCCTTTTTCACAAAAGAAATGTTTCCTTCAATTTAGTTTATTGAATTCTTGTTTCTTAAAAACTAATAGTTCACTTTGTAGAGTCATCCAGTAAACATTCAGTTAGTGCCTACTAATGTTCTGTCACTTTACTACTTACAAGTTTAGACTAATCAGGTAATACCATTCACATGAATAATTAATCAGAATTTCTGTTTATAGTATACCTAATTTCTTGAACCTTCTGGATAAGTCAGATTTTATTGAAAACCTTTTATTTGGAAAGAGTCAATAATATTTAGATGGAATTACAAAATGAAAAAAATCAAATGAGTATTTTTTCTCCTAGGTTTCACTTGGAAGCTCAATAATAATAAATAATATTTATTGAATGCTTACCATATGCCACATGCTTTACCAAGTGTTTTATATGGCTTAGGTCATTTGATCCCTACAATAATACAATAAGGCAGGAATTAGCACTATCCTGATTTTACAGACAAGAAAATTGATGTCTAGAAAGGTTAAATAATTTAGTCAGTGTCGCACAGATAGTAAGTGATGTGGTGGGTTTGAATCTAGTTCTGTCTGCCTTTAGAACCCTATCTTAAAAGACTCAGACATATCCTATTGCCCCCAATCTGTAGGCAGTTGCCCTCAGCATTCCCTGCCATACTTAACAATCTTGTTTTATTCTTGTGTGAAACTATTTTGTGCAAGTCTGATTCCCCCCGCCCCGCAAAAAAAAAAAAAAAAAAAAAAACTACTTAGGAATCAGAAGAAAACATTGAAGTATTTTTATCTGAGTGTTTTCTCATTCTGTTTTAGATAATGAATATTTCTTTGTTGATCCTGATTTAAAATTAACCAAAGTGGCCCCAGAGGGATGGAAAGAAGAACCAAAGAAAAAGAGCAAAGCCGCTGTTAATTTTACTTTGTTTTTCCGAATTAAATTTTTCATGGATGATGTTAGTCTAATACAGTGAGTACACAAGTTTCTATTTTTATCTTTTCGGCTTCTGGTCTTTGGACCCTTTAGTTTACTGATACTGAATTATTTGATTCAGTAAATGTCTTCTCTATCATAAAAGAAATATTTCCTTCCACATAGTTTATTAAATTCTTGTGCCTTAAACGATTAATAATAAACCATCTTGGGAACTCAACTTATATGCCAATAATAAAAATCTCTCCAGATTCAAGGTAAAGCCTAGATGTTTAGTGTGCATTTATTTTTCCAGACATACCCTGACCTGTCATCAGTATTATCTTCAACTGCGAAAGGATATCTTGGAGGAGAGGATGCATTGTGATGATGAGACTTCTTTATTGCTGGCATCCTTGGCTCTCCAGGCTGAATACGGAGATTATCAACCAGAGGTAGGATTTATTTATTTTTTTCTCCAGGGCCACTTTCATTATGATATTTTTATCCTCAGCATAATTAAAAACTGAACCTGGATGATGTGTTTGCTATTTAGATCTGGAGTTGTTGTTTTTAAGATGTATTTGAGAGAGAGAATGTGCAGGAGGGGCAGAGGGAGAGCAAGAGAGAATCTCAAGCAGACTCCACGCTGAGCATGGAGCCTGACATGGGGTTCCAGTCCCACAGCCCTGAGATCATGACCTGAGCTGAAACCACGAGTCAGATGCTCAACTAATTGCACCACGCAGGCACCCCAATATCTGGAGATTTTTGAGGCTAGTTTGGTACCTTAGAGTGACCAGATTCCCCACGTACATTGGTATGTAAAGTCATACAGTGTAGCTTTTTCTCTCTCTTTTTCTTTTTTCTGTGTAAAATTTCCTGTTTCACAGTTTCAGGATATCTAGCATTTACCCTTCTTTCTCCCAATTTCTAATTAATAGATACTAGGCACAAGGGTTACCAACCAAATCTGGGTCAAAGGGATCTTCTGCCTTCCACATGGATCCATGCAGTAATGGGCTGAGAACCTAGCAGAGTTCACTGTACAGAAAACAGATGTTTGAGGCCAGTTGTTCCTGAAAAAAGTGGATCTAAGAGGAAGCAAGGGGCAAGAGTCAGTGCCACTTGAGTAGCATCCTTCACAACATTAACCCTAACTGTAGTGACATTTGGCCCTTGTTGTCTTGTCTGTTTAAGCTTGCTAATCAGTTCAGCCATTTTACCTCACCGAGTGAAAGAGAAAGAATGATGCATTTCCTTTAAAACTCATTCCTCAGGGAGCAGTCTAAATAAAAGTGTCTTACCTCTTGGTTGAGGCAAGAACTTTAAGATAGAAGGAAGAGGGCAAACAGAATTGCTTATAAAAACATTCTCTTCTAGGTTCATGGTGTGTCTTATTTTAGACTGGAGCATTATTTGCCTCCCAGAGTGATGGAGAAACTTGATTTATCCTATGTTAAAGAAGAGTTACCAAAATTGCATAATACGTATGTGGGAGCTTCTGAAAAAGAGACAGAGTTAGAATTTTTAAAGGTAAGCATGCAAGATTACAAATGATAAAGTTTATATCTTTTTCAAAGTAAGCAAGAAATGTTGGAGGACATATGTATCTAAAAGCTCAAGTGCCAATAACTGATACTATGCATTATCTCATCTCATTTATTCCTGACTAAAATCCTGGTATTTTAATTATCCTGTGAAAGAGAGGACTAAAGCTCAAAGAGGAAATGTAATATTCCCAAAGTCAATGGCTGGTAGGTGGGGCAAAACTAATTCGAACCCTATATCTGCATGGCTATAAATTCTCTGCCTTTATTCTGCTCTATACTCAAGATACAATATAAATGTATCAAAATACATTGTAAAGAAGCAACAACTGAATTTTTTGATAGAATTATTTTGCTTTGTTTTTTAAAAGGCTTAAAATTCAATTATATCCTTTAAAAACGGTATTTCATGAATGCTGACTAATTCACATAATGGAAGGGGGTCAGAAAAAAATGGCTTTATGGTTCCAGTTCTGCCATCAGCTTTCTTTGAGATCTCAGATAAATAGTCCATTTATGATCGAGAAAGATAGTATTGTGTTAACTTCCAATAAGAATAGAAAGTATAGTATTCTGTTGAGAAGAGAAACTTTCAGAACATTCTCCTGGTTCAACCCCCTAGTATGTAACATTATGCCTTCCATTTGCTCCATATTGAAGAGAGCCAAGGTTCCCAGCCCTACAAGTATCTATGAAGACAAAGACTTGCTAACCCACATTTCCAAAATCAAAAAAGTTTCCTCATGTCCCTTTGCAGTTAATCCCCCACCACTACCACCCCAGCCCTTGGCAACTACTGACCTCCTTTCTATCACCATAGTTTTTTCTTGTCTAGAATTTCATAAAAAGAATTATGCATTATGTAGTTGTAGAAAAGTTACATACATAATTGTAGCACAATTATGTAGAATTATGCATTATGCATTATGTAGAAAAGTTGCTCTTTTCACTTAGAAATAATACTTTTGAGATTCATCCGTGGTATCAGTTTTTTTGGTGGTGGTGGTTTTTTTGTTGTTGGGGGATTTTTTTGGTTGTCGTTGTTGGTTTGTTTTTGGTTTTTGTGGGTTTTTTTGTCATTCTTTTGCTGGGTAGTTTCCCTCTGCACAGATAAACAACCTGTTTATTTCTTCATTAGTTGATGGATATAAAGCTTTTATAAACTTTCAAATACACATTTTGATGTGAGCATATGGTTTTTATTTCTTTTGAGTAATTACCTAACAGTAGGGTTGCTGGGATCTATGGGAAGTGTATGTTTATAAGAAAATGCCAAATTGTTCTAAAGTAGTTGTCCAATTTTACAGTACTACCAATAATGTGTGAGATTTCTAGTTGTTCCACATCCTCAAAATACTTGGTCTGCTCAGTCTTTTTCACTTTAACTACTGAAATAGGTAAGTAGTGGTATATCATTGTGGTGAGGTTAATTTGTATTTCCCTAATTACTATTTATGGTGAGCATCTTTTCATGTGTTTATCTGCCATTCGTGTATCTTCTTTGTTCAAGTGTCTAATAAAATCTTTTGCCCATCTTTGTATCTGGTTATATGTCTCCTTACTGCTGAGAAATACATGCTTTTTATATATGCTGGATACAGTTCCTTTATCAGATATATATTTACCTCCCAGTCTGTAGCCTGCCTTTATATTTTCTTTTCCTTTCCTTTTTTTTTTTTTTTTTTTTTTTTGGAGAGAGGGAGATGGGGGGCAAGAGAGAGAATCTTAAGGAGACTCCCCAATGAGTGCAGAGCCAATACAGGGCTCTATCGTGCAACCCTGAGATCATGACCTGAGCTGAAATCAAGAGTCAGACACTTAACTTACTGAGCCACCCAGGCGCCCCATTGCGTTTATATTTTCTTAACACTGACTTTTGAAGAGCAGAAGTTTCAGTTTACCAATTTTTTATTCTATAGTTCATGTTTTTTATGTCCCACGAAGAAATCTTTGTCAAACCCATACCCATAAAGATTTTCTAAGCTTTATGATTTTAATTCCTATATTTAGATCAATGACCCATTTGGGGTTAATTTTCATATACTGGGTGTAATTGAGGGTCAAGATTTCTTGCCTGTGAATATCCATTTGTTTCAGCACCATTTGTTGAAAAGACTATCCTTTCCATATCAAACTACAGTGGTACACCTTCTATATCTTTGTCACCCTTTACCAAGGTGCATTGCTATTGATGTTCAACAGGTCTGCCAGAGACTGACAGAATATGGAGTTCATTTTCATCGAGTGCACCCTGAGAAAAAGTCACAAACTGGAATATTGCTTGGAGTCTGTTCTAAAGGTGTCCTTGTGTTTGAGGTTCACAATGGAGTTCGCACACTGGTCCTTCGCTTTCCATGGAGGGAAACCAAGAAGATTTCTTTTTCCGTATGTCCATTTAAACTCCTTTTCATAATATTTTAAGATATGTGTTGTCAATTTCAAATGTTACATACTAATTGATTATCCTTAAGTAAACTTTAGACCCTTCTATTTGGTAGGGCTAATACATTTTAATACTTTTTTTTTCATTTTAATACTATTTAACTCTTCTTAGTTGTAGGAAGTATTACTGAGATCTTTATTTGGTTTTAGTTTTCTCAGGAAGTGATTTTTAAAAGAATAATATACATTCCCAGCTGGTTACACACTCAATTGACTTAGTTAAATTACAACCAGGTTGACTTTCTATTAATTCAGAACTTAATTCTGGGATACTTACTTCTCACATGGAGAAACCCCTCTAATATATTTTGAAAAATAATTATTTTAATCCTCGTAAATTTTGTCTAGCTCAATAATGGGCTCCTCACAGCAACTATGTTTGAATTTTAGCAGTCCAGAGATTTATTGGATTTTATGAACTAAAAACTTTTTTTTATTTAAAGATTTTAATTTGTTTATTTGACAGACCGTGAGGGAGGGAACACAAGCAGGGGGAGTAGGAGAGGGAGAAGCAGGCTTCCCGCTGAGCAGGGAGCCCAATGCGGGGCTCGATCCTAGGACCCTAGATCATGACCTGAGCTAAAGACAGACACTTAACGACTGAGCCACCCAGGCGCCCCTAAAAATGTTTTTAATGTCCCAGAACTTTCTGCAGTTTTAAGTTTTAGTGTATATTCCATATGGAGGTAAAGTTTTAGAATATCAAGTTTATGAAAGTTAGTGAGCCATAAAAGCATATTTTGATTTTGGAAGTGGTTAGAGTGTCTGAACATTGAAATGCAATTGAGAAGCCCCAGAGGTGAATAAAAAAATATGTTAAGATATTTATTTGTTTTCCTAATGGTATTCAGAGACTACTGACATCTCTAATTCATATTTGGGCTGAAATATGGTCTCACTTATAAGGATATCAATCTCAAGGTCCCAACTTACCCTGGTTAATTTTCAACCTAGAGACCTTTGAAATCAGTTCTAGACTTGGTTAGTTGGTTGGTTTCCTGTGAAACCCAGAGGTACCACTAAGATTGCCAGATGATAATGTGTTCTCTCAGGAAAGCCCAGACCGCCTCATCTTCCCAAGATTGTCAAGACCAGGAAATCGCCCTAGTATAATTTACCTTCCCCAGTGGAAATGCTAGCAGAGCAAATATCGGTAGGAAACCTTAGATTAATTAAATACAAATCTAATTTAGGCCAATTTAGAAAAGGCAACAAATCAAATTGTCTAGCATTCAGCTCTCTGTTGTTAGCCAAGCCATCACACCAGCCCTGCCATATATAGAACTAGCTTTGATTAGCTCATTTTTAAAGATCTCTAGTAATAGAGAATAGACCACAGTCCCATGCAGACTGTTCTTGTGTTTAACAAAACTTGTTTATCCCGGAGTCCCTTCCCCAACACAGAGCTCCTTTTTTAACCCTCCTTCCCGCCCCTCCCAACTAGCCTCTGGGGAGATTGAAATGTCACCCTCCTTCGCCTTTCTCATCTTTCACAATTGAATTCCCTTGGACACATTTCTTGTCCATTTTATCAGTAAATACTTAGAATCAATTATTCTCATAATTTGTTTCAAACCTGTACAGCTTTACAACTTTGGAGAAAAATATCCTAGGGAATTATTTGACAGTGGTTATGTTTGTTTGGAAAAAAAATTCCCCAACTATTTGAATTGTCACTAGGTATACTACTGATAGTCAAGAGACTAGTTTGGTGCTACTGATTCTTTTAACTCCTCTTTTATACTTGCTGATTTCCTTTTTTAGGAAAGAGAGAACAGGGTCCCAGAGATTTCACTGATAACATATCCAGCTAGAATTTAATAACCTTATTTTGTTTTTATTGCACTGATTGCATATACTTTTTTAAATATTTATTTATTTGAGATAGCATGAGCAAGGGCCAGGGGCAGAGGGAGAGAGAGAAGCAGATACCCTACTGAGCAGGGAGCCCCAGGCAGGGCTCTATCCCAGGATCCTGAGATCATGACCTTAGCTAAAGGCAGATGCTTAACCAACGGAGCCACCTAGGTGCCCCTGATTACATATTTTTAATAGCTGGATTCTATTTATGGCAAGTGGTACTGGTTTTGTATTTGTAGCTGTGATATAAAGTTTAAGTGAATTTATATAAGCAAAGTCAATTTAAAAATTTATAAATTGGGACGCCTGGGTGGCTCAGTTGGTTAAGCAACTGCCTTCAGCTCAGGTCATGATCCCGGGGTCCTAGGATCGAGTCCCACATCGGGCTCCCCCTGCTCTGTGGGGAGCCTGCTTCTCCCTCTGCCTCTGCCTGCCACTCCCTCTGCTTGTGCTCTCTCTCTCTCTCTCAAATAAATAAATAAAATATTTTTTAAAAAAATTTATAAATTAACACGATCAGAAATTATGAAGAAGGCACCTGCATGATTGAAGTTTGAGTAATATTCTGTTATTGTGTCATTTGTGAGCCTCACCAAATTTGACTTCTCTGTGGCTATTCCTGCGTTTGAAAACAAGGGACATTAGTAGATAGAGGGAATAATTTACACAGCAGAAGCAGCCGAGAGCTGGAGTAAAATCTAATTGGACTTAAGCAGTTCTCCAGAGACATTAGTCTTAGATTCCTGGCATGCTGAATGCTAGTTTTTTAAGATGTACGAATCATCTGCAAGCCTCACCAGAGAGGTTGCAACATTTTGGGATGCCCTCTTTACACAAGAGACGTTTATTTTTCAAGAAACATAGAAGAGATAACACTAACCGATGGTTCTCCTGTTTCCCCTGAATTTGAATGCAAGAATCACTCTGTCTCTAAATATTGATGTGTTTTATCTCTCATCCCAGCAGCCATGTTACCTGGTGCTCTCTATTCCCACATTTTCTTTTAACTTTTCACAATTTCCATCTCAGCCTTCAGGCTGCCAAAATTCTTCCTGACAGAATCACAGCTCTTTTAATAAATCAATTTTTGTTGAATTTCATTTTCTTACCCACGAAGAACATATTTTTGTAATGTCTTTTTCAAACAGTTATGGTATTTGTCAACATTGCAGTAAACTCAAAATACCAATAATCTCATTAAAAGAACTTTTTCCCTTGCTGGTAGCTGGTATACTGTCTGATTTAGGCTACAGTATCTGAAAGTGACAAATGATATTAATTTGATTTATTTGCTGAATCTCTTAAAATAACAGGGTTCTGTTTTCTATATTTATTTTAGATGCAGGTCAAGGAACACTCATGCTTAACGAGTGTTAAATGAGAAATAAAAATAATATTTGTACTTATTAATTATTGTTTACAGAATTTAGTTATGTGTTAGGAAAACCTCCTAATTATAGTACCCCTGATTAATATTGTAGAAAAAGAAAATCACATTGCAAAATACATCAGATGGAATAAAACATGCCTTCCAGACAGACAACAGTAAGGTGTGCCAGTACCTGCTACACCTCTGCTCTTCCCAGCATAAGTTCCAGCTGCAGATGAGAGCAAGACAGAGCAACCAGGATGCCCAGGATATCGGTAAGGAGAAACAAATTGTGTCAGATGATCAGGGTACGAGCTTGGTTTTTGCCACAAATTTTAAAAGAATTTCCACATCTAGAATGAAAGTTACAATGTGTACAGATGTTAAATGACTAAGTCAGCTTTATAAAAATGCCACAAATGAAGCCAAGATTTCAGCTTCATGTTCATTTTGAAAACTGCGCCCCAGATCAGTGAGGGAGCACCTGTTGAAATGTCTATTTTTTGCTAATCATGAGGCTAACTGATGTAAATATGGTATTTGGGTCATTGTCTCTACCCGTAGTAAAGTTAACTATTATTTGGGAAGGTAAGACAAACATACATGAAATAATAATATACATCAGAGGGTCCAGGTTTTAATAACAGATTATATCGTACAGACTACATGATCTACAGCAAGAAGAGGGAGATCAGAGGCCAGAATACTCCAATGGTGACCCCTGAACTGGAATTTGAAGGACAAAAGTAACTAAGTAGGTTGAAGATAAATGGAAGGGCTTTCCAGGTGAGGGTGAAAAAAGAAACAAGGCAGGGGGCAAGGGGAGCATGCACCCAGTGATGTGTTACATAGCATAACAGTTTGGGGTGGCAGATTTCCCACCTGTTAGTTTTACTTGAGTGTGTCCCTCTTCAGCGACTGAGATCAGTAACCCCCATACCCAGTATAAATGGTCAGAAGAGTGATTTCAGTTCCTTTTGAAAAGGAACCAGCAGAAGTAACTAATTCAGCTCTGAAAAAAAATATCTCCGTCAGAACTGAAATATTTAAAACTTACTCTGCAAGACCACATGAAGAGATTAAAGTTATACAGAATCTAGTTCTGCATAGTAAATTCTTATAGACTTCTGTGAAATACTCCGAAGAATTAGATTTTTTAATTTAATGGAATAGCACTGATGACCTTGTGTAGCAGAGTCCTATGAATTCTGTATCCAAACTTTCTCACATCCTGAAATATTACAAAAAATGTATTCCCTATAGAATCAGACTGGGGTGATGGCAGCTTATGAATAGATGTTTCTCAGCCTTTCAGAGGCAAGATGGTAGGGGTGTATGCTTATTAAAAATGAAGATTCCAGAAACCTACCTGAAACTTGGTGAATCACCATCTTTGGGTATTGGGTCCCTGGAATCTGCATTTTAACTGGCTTTCTGCAGTAATGATTTTAATGCATGCTAAATTATGGTAACTACTGCTGTAAAGTAATCTCATTATTCCTTTTCTTTACCTACTTTGCTCTGCTAAAAAATTGTATGCTCTTACATATTTTAAAAGTGCAGTGAAATATCAAACTTATTAGAGCTATCAGTATTCGTACTTGGACTAATACTCTAGTCAATAACAAACCAAAATTGAACAATTGAAGGTTGCATCATTACAGACGTAGTATAATGTGCTATTATGAAAAAAATCAGAAGACAAAACTACAAAGCCAGCCTTTCATCCTCAGCATTTCTTATACTGAAGAAAAAATAGTGTAGTAGTTAATTAACAGCATGAACTCTGGAACCAGACTGCCAGGATCCAAACCTTGCTCTATTACTTATAAGCTCTGAAACCTTGGGTAGGCACTTAAACTCTGCCTTAGTTCCCCATCTATAAAGTGATTATCATAATGATAATACCTACATCGTGAGGTTGTTGTGAAGATGAAATGAATGCATACATGTAAGCACCCTAAAGGTACCTGGCACAGAGTAAGTATTGAATAAATATTCGTTATTGTTATCATCACCATCATCAGTATTGTCTTACCACTACTAATAGTAGTATAATGACCCCGTAGGAAAGTAACTGACGTCTAGGAGTCTCATTTTCCTCATCCGTGGAGTGGGAATACCCTATGTATCTCACAGGTTTGCACCAAGGAATACACAGCTGTGTATCCTTGAACTCATATGTGAAAGCACTTTAAGACGGTGTTATCTACAGCTTTTCCCAGATTTTGTTAAACCTTCAAAGGAATTATTTTTTTGCTTAAAATGGCTTAGAAGTAACTACCTGCCTACTTAATTAACTGTATTAGACAAGTGAAAATAACTGGTGTTGTCTGTAGGAGGTTGATGGGCTGACAAATATATGTTACTTCTATAGCATCATAGAATGTTGGTGCTAGAACCCTAGAGGCCTTTTAGTCCCAGATTTTACTGGGTGAGGAAACAGGTTCAGAGCATAGTGTCTCACCTAAACTCAGAGGTCAAATGAGCCTGGAACCCTGATCTTTTCATTTCTATTTGATGAAAAAACTAATTTGCATAGAATGAACTTAAGATTAATAATCATTTATTGAGCACTTACTACTTGTAAGTAGTAAGAGAGATGATGCTGGGTGCTATGGAATAACAGAAATCAATGAAGTCGCTCTCCTCAAAAGAGCATACAGTTAAGTTGATGGTATAAAGAAATATCAAATAGTACAAAGGATTGAACAATTGCACAGAGATTAGGTAGTGTGGATGGCAGATTCTGTGTGGAACTAGCCAACCATTGAATTCAAATCTGAAACACTAGTATTAGGATGTAGGCTCATTCTAAAGTCCTTTCCCATCCTGGCAGTCCATATTGGAGTCCTTTCCAGGTGAAAGGGATAAAGGACAGATCAGATAAATTGATAGTTTATGCTCCCGTCCAGTGAATATATGCACCATTTTAAGTCTTACCCAGGACTAGGCTATGAATGGATTTGACTAGCATAATCTTGGATATTTACAAAGCAGTCTGTCCCTTTTTCTGTCAAAGTGTGGTCTACATTTCCTTAAGGGTGAAGAAACCTGTTGGGTATAAAGGTATATCCTGGTAGTTGAATCTGTGTAAGACCAAGTTTTGCATCTTTGATTACAGTCTGCTCTCAAAGCAAAAGAAAATGGAAATCATGTTATCTGCTCTAATAAAATTATTTTAAGCTAAAGATCATTCTGGGAATTTTTAAACCAATATTTTATTTTTATTCTCGTGTTTTAATTTGGTGTCCACTCCAGTTCAGCAAAAGGACATTGAATTTTCCTGTTGACAATGAAGCATGTTTATTTAAACTCCATTCTGATGCATTTTAAAAATCTCCTGTGTTTTCCTATCTCCTTATGCCTGAGGTGAACTCTTAATTATTAATCTTCCTAGGAATTAGAAGGTAAATGAAACAGAATCTAAAGATCTAAGTCAGCAGCATCATTTGATCTTTTCTTTTTAAAAGGAAGTTTTTGCAGCCATGGTGGTCAAGCTGTATTTCCTTATAGTGTGCAACATAGGGTTGGTACTTCCCAACTTCACCAAACGGGGAGTGCCTTGTAATGTGGATTACCAGTGCATGAACTAAATCATTTGAAATTTTGTGCTCCTGGCCCTTTATTTACATGAAAGGATTTTGATGCTAAAATTCTGTGATACAGTGCTTTTGTTAATAGCCTCAAATGCTCAAATACTACATTGGCTCTCACAAAATAGAATAAGCCAAGCACTTGTCATAGAGTATCTCTAAATTTAGCCTCTAAAAGACTTTGGATGTGTATTTAGGAGTGAAAGGAATTTAAGCATAATGAGAACCCCAGCTCCTTGATCATGTTTATTAACAGAAACCAAAAAAATGAAAGAAGGCAAGTAATACTTGATTTTCCCATGGCTCCTGTGCCTCAGTCCAATCATGAAAAGTCAACCAAGTGGGAAGGTGAGATTGGCATAGTAATGAAATAACAAAAGAAATAATTTTCTGTAAAAGCTTTTGTTTTTTCTCCTCCTCTTTGGTAACAGTTTTAATGAGACATAATTCCCACGCTCTACAGTTCAGCCACTGAAAGTACACAATTCAGTGGTTTTTAGTATATTCACAGAGTTGTACAACCATCACAATCTACCATGAGCTTTAAAAAAAATAACAATACTCAACTTTTTCTCTGGGCAAAATTCTCCTCTGCATAGCTTCTTTTTCATGTCAGCCTGTCTAGGCTCCATCTCTCCCTCTCCCCGTCCCTGGCTTGCAGGGATTTTAGCAGAGACACCACTGGGATTGAAATTTCTATGTCAAATGTTATTTTCTTTTTTAACTGAAACCCGTAATTGGGAATTTAGAGTCAGCAAGCTTGAAGCCCAAACATTATTAGATGCTCAGGATTCATTAGATCAGGTAGGAAATGCTGACCAGGCTGTGGCTGTGAGAAAGCTACAAGGATGGAGAGATGGTTTGAAAACCAAACTCCTTTTTCAGATCCTTGCTTGCCACACTTGGAAAGCTGCTACTCACGTTGGCAATCAAAACAATTAAAAACTGCATGCTGTATTTTATTTATTGAAATAACTCTTCTCATAAAGGTACTGCGGTGTTTCCATCGTGTAAAGCCATCCTATTTCCTTGTAGAGAGAGCTTCGTTTAGGAGCCTGAATCTCCAAGCAGAGTCCGTTAGAGGATTTAATATGGGACGAGCAATCAGCACTGGCAGTCTGGCCAGCAGCACCCTGAACAAACTTGCCGTTCGACCTCTGTCAGTTCAAGCTGAGATTCTGAAGAGGCTCTCCTGCTCAGAGCTGTCGCTTTACCAGCCATTGCAAAACAATGCAAAAGAGAAGAGTGGCAAAGCTTCATGGGAGGAAAAGCCTAGAGGGATGAGTAAATCATACCACGATCTCAGTCAGGCCTCTCTCTACCCTCATCGGAAAAATGTCATTGTTAACATGGAATCCCCACCACAGAGCATTGCGGAGTTGGTAGGAAAACCATTACACCAGATGGCAAGATCTGATACAGAATCTTTGGCAGGATTCACAAAACTTAATAAGTAAGAACATAATTACCCAACTACATATTATTTGTAAATTCTACATTTCATACATTTGTTTTTGTTTTGACGTTTTATTATTTTCACCATATTTTTTTACATTGACACATCCCCCTCCTACCTTCCTTTTCCCTCTTTAGTTCAAAGTCTGTTGCAAGTTTAAATAGAAGTCCTGAAAGGAGGAAACAGGAATCAGACTCCTCATCCTTTGAAGACCCTGGTCAAGCATATGTTATAGGTCAGCATAAACAAGCTTACCTTCTTTCTCCCATACCTCATGCTCATAGTGAAATGAAAGAAATAATGTTAGTGACCAATATATTATTTTTGCTTCTATGTCCTAATTGCCAAAGCTGCTTTTGAATATGAAATTTTAGGCTACTTAAAATGTGCCAAGTCAAATCAAAAACTGATTTAACAGGTGATTCCTTCAAGGCACACTGTTACTTCACTTTCTCTTGGTCACAGTTAAAAACTGTGACAGTCATACTGAGAGAACCCAGACAGTCTGGTACCATGGCTTTGGACAGCCTTCCTTTGGATTTTCTATACAAGCCGGTGGCAGTGGGCTCCACTCATACTGTATTTTTTAAAGAAAGATTTATTTAGGGTACTTTCAGCTTAGCGTGAATGCAGTTATCTCTCAAACCAGATAATTTTTATGAAATGTGCTGTGGTTGATAGGTAGAAATTCTTAGTTGATTAGAGTTTTTTTTTTTTCCAATACTCCCAGCTAGCTGAGGCATATTAAGTATGTAAGTAAAGAAGTTTATAAACACATACTATCTTATGAGATAAATAGTTCAGGTTTCCTGTTGTTTTATGCATCTTAAAAGGGAAATGCACTGGAATCTTACAGAAGAGTAGATATTTAAGCACAGAGGTGTGAACTCAGAATAGGAGACAGCTGGGGAGACAGAAAAGAAACAAGGACACCCTCTTCTGCTGCTGTTTTACTGTAATACTAGTTAACTCTCACTTAGACCAACGCTTGATCATTTAATCCTAATTACACAAAGTTAAAAAATATTTTTTTATCTGTAGTTGGATTGAAGATCTGTCGAGTAAATGAAAAGAGAACTCTATAATTGGTAGATATTTACAGAAAGCAACATTACTTTATTAATGTAGGCTTCCACAGCTTTCAGAGATGATACTAGCATCAATTTAAATTGAATTGGTAAAAGACTTTCAAGAGATAAAAGGCAAGATTTCACTCTATAGGTCACCACCCTATGTGTTGAAAATAGCCTAAGAAGATGCTAGTTCAATCTTTTAGAAAATACTTTTCAAAGAGTATTCATATGTAATGGGATCCCATATAGATTCTAAGCTATTTTCATTAGAAATGCTTTCATCTACATAAAAATCCATAATATACTAGATGAAGAATAGTAAATATTTCATTGAAAAACACAGAATAAAATTCACTCATGAAAGAAAATTTATTTTCCACATTTGTTTTTTGATTAAGATTATTCGTTCTTACTGAATATTAAATTTTCTTTAAACATTTAAACAAATGCTTTTAAAACTCAGTTTCATCATTTCATATTTGACATATCAAAACGTCATTGCCAGAAACAATACATTTGTGTTTAAATTTATTCTGTAAAACAAGCTGATATGCTTAACTTGGACATTAGAAACAGTAAATAAGCCCATTGTGGGAAGACATTTTTCTGGGTGTAAATTAAAAAAAAAAATGTTGCCACCTTAATGTTTTGATTTTTATGAATTTAACAGAAATTACTAATATAGTATCTGATCATTTTATAAACTGTCTAATAATTTAATTTATACCACAGGAATGACTTTGCATAGTTCTGGAAATTCTTCATCCCAAGTACCCTTAAAAGAAAATGGTAGGTTTACAAAATGTTTTTCCCCTCATTTCCATCATATCTTTTCTCTTGTACCTTATGAGATAGTCTTGGACATATTGAAGAGTCTTCAATTCCATGCTAAGGATTTTAGGTCTTACATTGTAGTCAAAGGAGAGTTGTATTTTTCAGCACCATGGTGATATGATGGGACCTGTGATTTAGACTAGATGGTGAACTAGAGAAATGACAAATTATAAATAAGGACACCTGGAAAGCTAAGATAGTTCAGGTGTAAGATAATCTTGATTAAAGAGTTTTAACTTAGGCAGTTATTTTAACTGAGGATGCCTGAGCTGGATCTTGAGATAAAAGGAGGAAATTCAGACAGAATGTTGTGAATATACATTCCAGACCAAGGTCATAGTGTGATCAGGCAGGGATACAAGTGAGAGGGTAACAGATTCAGGGAACTTTCAAGGGTCTCAGTATGGAGACGTGGGGCCAGAGTGATGCTTGAGAACTAAATAAGGACTAGCTCCGAGTCTTACCCTAAATATTATGGAAAGAATTTGAAGGGGTGCCTGGATGGCTCAGTTGGTTGAGCATCCAACTCTTGGTTTCAGCTCAGGTCATGATCTCATGGGTCGTAGGATCAAGCCCACATGGGGCTCCATGCTCAGCAGGGAGACTTTTTGAGATTCTCTCCCTCTACCTTTGCTCCTTCCCACACGCGCATGGGCGCTCTCTCTCTCTTTCAAATCTTCTTTTAAAGAATTTGGGGGTGCTTGCATGGCTTAGTCGGTTAAGCGTCTGCCTTTGGCTCAGATCATGATCCCAGGGTCCTGGGATGGAGCCCTACATTGGGCTCCTCACTCAGCAGAGAGTCTGCTTCTCCCTCTCCTTCTGCCCCTCACCCTGCTCATGTGCTGTCTCTCTCTCTCTCTCTCTCTCAAATAAATAAAATAATTTTAAAAAAAGAATTGAAACATGCAAACAATGAATCGTGGAACACTACACCAAAAACTAATGATGTATTGTATGGTGATTAACATAACATGATAAAATAAAATTTAAAAAAAAGAATTGAAGACTTTGTTTACAGTTTAAAAGGAGTCTAAGAAGTAACAAAGTGTAGGGAGAAATTTTGTGTAGTGACTTGAGTCAGTGGATTCAAATTTTTTCATTTAAATTATAAAATACTTTCATCTACATTATCTTATCTGATCTTTCTAACAACATTCATGGGTAGAAAGAACATTTTATTACTGTGTATATACAACTTTCCTCCAAAAATGTTTCAGTCTTACCCTTAAGTTTAGTTATAATTTCCTGAGAGCCAACGCAAAAATGAAGGTATGAGAGTGGGTTGAACCCTATGAAACTGCAGTTTTTGTAGGTTAAAACTGTCAGACACCAAGTGCTATCTTGTATAACTTTAATTTCCTAATAGAAATACCCACAGCAATTCTTCAAGAGAGGAAAATTTTTCTTGGGTAAAATTGAGTCAAAAAGTAAAAATACACAAAATATCTTAAATACTTAGCAAATGAAGGATTTTTTAATCTAATTTTTTTAATGTATCCTCAAAAAATCTGAGGGGCATACAATGAAGAATAAATCAGTGAGCTTAAACTTGGGCTTAAGTTCCTAACTCTGGGGCGCCTGGGTGGCTCAGTCAGTTACGTGTCTGCCTTCAGCTCAGGTCATGATCCCAGGGTCCTGGGATCGAGCCCCGCATCAGGCTCTCTGCTCAGCAGGGAGCCTGCTTCTCCCTCTCCTTCTGCCTGCTGCTCTACCTACTTGTGCTCTCTCTCTCTCTCTGTCAAACAAATAAAATGTTTAAAAAAATTACTAAGACCATGATATATAGCTTTATGATGACCACATGTCTTGCATGGACTGAATTTAGAATAACTCTGTGCCTAAAATAGCTCAATTTTAACAAGTCCATAATGGTAAAAATTTTGACTAATGGTTATTGAGTGCTTACATGTGCCAGGCACTGTTCTAAGCACTTTATGTTTTACCCCTCATTTAATTCCCACAACAATCCTATGAGTCAGGTGCTAATTTTATTTCCTTTTCACAAATGAGAAACCAAAGCATAGAGAGGTTGAGTTGTGCAGAACATCATGGAACTGATAAGTGCTGGAGCCATGATTTGAACACATGATCTCTGTTTCCAGAGCCTGTATTCTAATCTACTCTTTAGACTGTCCTAGCATAATAATGCCTAATCATTTGTAGGTGTTGTTTCTCCAAGCTAACCTTTTGAAAAAAGCTGGATAATAATCTATTAAAAGATGAGAACCTGAAGTGTGTTTAAACCTAGGTTCTGATGGAAAAGAGTATGAATTTACAGTGGACACCAAATGAGGAACATGTGCAGGGTAGTTGCTCTGTTTAAACCTTCAGAAACCTCATCTTTGGAGGTTAGTGCCCCTTGCTGAGGAAGGTGACCAACTCACCTGCCTGTGGAGATGTACCCCAGTTGGGTTGCAGACAAGTCTGTTTTCTTCGAAATTCTCTTGGAATCTGCCCACGTAGTCCTGATTTAGTGCTTTGTTGAGAATCAAGTCTAAGATTCATACAATAGAACATGGAAAACACATTTTTCCAAATAAGGTAACAGCATCCAAAAATTACTTGCCTGTGAATCAAATATAGGACTTCTTATTCTGATTTTAGTATTCTTCCTTGCTGGTCAGGATTATGAGAAGACAATTAGAACTTACCATCAGTTAATATTGAATTATTCATCATTTAATATAAGAACCAACAAGTAGAATTCAATCTTAACCTTTTGTGACTTTCAGAGACCCTTAAGGAATGTGAAACTTGACAAAGAAGATAAAAGAAAAAAAGGCATGAATCTTCTAATAAAACAGAGATATGGGAAGGTTTACAAAAAAACAAAATAAAGAAAATGTAGAACTGATGCAACAATTATGTAAAATTGGTTTTCAGTGTTTCTTCTTAAGAAATATTTCTTAAATATTTCTTATTTTACTATAAATCAGGATTATTATGTAATTGAAAAGTAACTCTTAGCTAAATTTGTCACCTTCCTTCCTATACAAACCACAAAAATGGGGTCAAACACTGGATTCTTAAAAATGAGATGCACTGTTCTTTAGTAAGTGCATACACTTACTTTATGAATCCCTAAATCATTTTGCAGATTAGAATATTTCATGCACTGGACTTTCAACCCATAAGGAAGGTCTCTCCTTATATTTGTATGCAAAGATACTCAGTGTATTCTAATCTTCAAAAAAAATTTTTTTCTATTTTTCAGGTCTACATTTCTCTGAAAATTAGTGATGTTGGTCAGTTATCTTTTCCTGTGTGTTGGCCATCTGTCTTTTTGGAAAAGTGTATAATGGGGTCCTGTGGTCATTCTTAAAAAAAAAAAAAAGATGCAAAAAACTCATGTAAAGTAGGTTATTCAAGGGCAGAGGAACCTGGTACAGACACTGAAATAAGCTTTTTTCCCCAATATTAAGACTGATTATTGGGACGCCTGGGTGGCTCAGATGGTTAAGCGTCTGCCTTCAGCTCAGGTCATGATCTCAGGGTCCTGGGATTGAGTCCCACATTGGGCTCCTTGCTTGGCAAGGAGCCTGCTTCTCCCTCTGCCTGCCACTCCCCCTGCTTGTACTCTCCCTCTCTCTCTCTCTGGCAAATAAATAAAATCTTAAAAAAAAAAAAAAAGACTGATTATTGTCCTTGTGAACAATCTCAATTCCAAGTAACAAAATGTTACATAAAGAGATTTTAAAGCACTTTGCTTAGTCAAATGTCCAGGACAAATATAATGTTAATGCTAGATTTTTCCGCATAAGTCTTAATTAGAATACATACAAAGTTGAAAATTATAATAAAAATTGAAGCCCAAAGTGCTCACAAAAGGATTCAACAGATACAGGAACTAACCAGAAGCAAAAAATTGAGTCATCTAAATTGAGACTGGAAGGAACTTTAAAGTATATTCAAACTAGCCTTTACATTCTATTGGTTGAGTTAAATAAGTCCCAGAGATGTTATGTGGCCCCAATTTATTCAGCTAATTAGTGCTGGCACAGAAATAAAACACCAAAGCTTCCATTATCCCCCTTACCCTACCATTGGAGCAGTTAGTATATTTAGGTGGTATAATAATGAAAAATACCTATCTTTGTTTTTATATCAATATGGTGCTGCTGACCCATCATCTCCAAGATTTGAAATGAGTCTTTTTCCATAGAGTGACTGATGGATTTATCTAGAGTCTCCTCCTCCTACAGTCCATTTCCTCGTAGATTAGGTGGCATGGAGCTTCCTGATACTTGAAAAGGATCTATATCTATAACCAACAGAATCAGTTTTTCTTGCAAAAAAAATTGTTGACTCATACTCGGATTGATTACATGGCTTTGACATTATCAGAAATATGTTCTTATTAGGAAATTTAGTTTAATTGTAGATTTATCTATCATTTGTACAGTTATTTTAGTCGGATTATATATGCCCACATGAATGTTAAGAGAGATGAAAAAGGCAACACGGAAACAAATGTGTCTAATGCAGAGAGGGTATACAATTTTATTTTCTAAATTTTACATTTAATCATTATTCTAAAGATATTTCCCAGGTTAACATTATTGGGAATGACACCAGCATGTGTTACTTAAAGAAGTGGACATTTCAAGTTGAAGCTCTTTTTCACTTTAAAATATTCATAGAATTTGCTGTGTTCCTGGAGTATACTGATGGGAAAAGAAAATCCTTTTAGGATTTAAAAATATGTACTCCTTCAATATTAAAGCTTGTTTTTATATAATCATACAAATACCTCAGAAATCTCTTGATTCTTTGAAATATCTGGCTGCCTTCCTTTGAGATTCATAAATTCTATTCATATCTTTCAGTTTACTTGAGTTGTCCTGTACTATTTACCTCAGATACTTACTTCTCTTGTCTTTTTTTTTTTTTTTAAAGAAAAAGTATTGTGAACATCTGCATGAATAGAATGCATATAGAATACAAATAGAAACTGGGGGGCACCTGGGTGGCTCAGTTGGTTAAGCAACTGCCTTCAGCTCAGGTCATGATCCTGGAGTCCCGGGATCAAGGCTCCCTGCTCGGCGGGGAGTCTGCTTCTCCCTCTGACCCTCCCCCCATCTCATGTGCTCTCTCTCTCTCTCTCTCTCATTCTCTCTCTCTCTCAAATAAATAAAATCTTTAAAAAAAAACTGGGCATGTGCACAGTGACATACAGCCACACGCCATCCTGACTTCTTTCTGTGCTCACATTAGTAACTTCACTGGGGGTGCGGTGGAGGACATCCCTGTTAAAAAGAGTGGGTTCAAAACTTCCCTTTCCCTGCTCAAGTCTTGTACTATAGCCAAGCTGAAATGTAGCATTTCTTCAGGACCCTTTCTGCCTTCTTTCCATCTCATCTTTTGCTAATACTGCTGTATTATTATTATTACATTATTATGTATCTATTGCTGTATATCCATCTCCATAATCCACTTATTAAAATCTTACCCCATTTCCTTGAAGTCTTTATTTCTGGCAGGAAGAAGCCTCTCCTCTTTTATAGGCCTACCTCATGCCTTCATAATGCAGCTATTTCATTGACTGTGTTAACATTTCTATTAGTCAGGCTAGGTCTTTGCTCTTGTAGCCTGACTGATTCAGCTCACATTTGCTATGCACCAGCTTTCATATATATTATTTTATTCTCCCAAATTGCTTAGTGAGAGACTTTGACAAGAAAGTTGTTAGTCAACATTTGAAGGATGAAAGAGTAATCGAATGATTACTCAAATCCTACTGATGAATCCTTGAATATAGAGAGCTGAATCTGTTGCTTCTAGACATAAGTACATTAAAATATTGCACATTTATTATGTGTGTTTTATATACGTATTCTAATAATATTTTCCTAGGAAATTTCTTTTTATACCCACACACACACTTATTAGCCAAATAAGTAATATAAATAACCAATCTTGTTAGTACATACATTGGGGGAAAAAATGGCATTTTTATTCTTTGAATCAATACCTTTGACTTCTAACAGATACTCCTTAGGCACATTAAGAATATTGATCCGTTTTATAATTGAGGACAAAAACACTTTGCATAAAGCAAATGGACTTTGTCTTCCCAATGGTGGTAAAAGTATACTTTTAATACTTAACCTAACCTTATCCTCTTATTTGTTTCACATTATTTTATGGGTTTGTCCTGTTGTATTTTGTTGGTTCCAGCTGAAAATTAGAGATACTTGTCTATTTTAGGATAAAAGTATTTTGGATGCTTAGATGATAATATTAAGCAAGGCCTTAACTAATTCATGGACTTTATGCTTATATGTATGTGTATGTACGTGTATATATACATATACATACCCAGTATATAAGGTTCTTCACACCATTGTCCAGTGATTTTTTTCTTTTTGGAATCTTATAAGTTAATTAGAAATACTGAATTACTACTACTCTTATTGATTATAACTAACTATAACTAAGTTTTGGTCAACAAAGAAACATGTATGCTACAGAGAGCTAGCCAACTTGCATTAATGCTTAGTGTTTAAGGGATAAAGTTAATTTACTCCAGAGAGCAAATGATTGCTGTTATTTTTTCTGATATTAAAGTGATTTATTTCTAGAATATGAAGTATCACATTTGCATCATTTAAGCATTAATACATATTATGTAACAAAATTACTACTTTTTCTTTATAACATATTCATACAGTTTTAAATCCACGGGTAGTCATATGTTGGCAAATAATCTGTAATTTTCAAAAAGCTTCAGTATGCTTAAGAATTATGTGGAGATTAATTTCAAAGTTTTTTATCTTTCCAAGTGTGTTGCATTCATCTACCATCAACTACTACCACATCACACACAAACCAGTTTGAACTATCAAATTATAATTGATATTAGTATGTTAATTTGCTAGAGCTGCTGATACAAGGTCCCACAGTCCTGGGTGACTTAAACAACAGAAATTTATTTTCTCACAGTTCTGGAGGCTAGAAGTCTGAGATCAAGATGTTGGCAGCGTTGATTTCTTCTGCCACCTGTCTCCTTTGCTTGTAGATGGCAGTCTTCTCCCTCTGTCTTCACATAGTCTTCCCTCCGTGTGCACACATGCATGCATATGTCCGTATTCAAATTCCCCCTTATAAGGACACCAGTCCTACTGGATTAGGATTTGCCTTAAAGAACTCATGTTAATTATTTCTTAATCTGTCTCCAAATACAGTTAAGTTCTGAGGTACTGGGAGTTAGGGGTTCAATATATAAATTTGAGGGTGGGGGTAAAGGGACACAGTTCATCCCATAACAGGAAGAGATGAAAGTGTGTGTGCTCATGCGTGTACACATGCTCAGATTGCTAAGTAAATGAAGTAATTTTATTAACATGACACTTTAGCATATTTATTGGTTTATTTTAGGAGATATTTGTAAATGATCGATCTACTAAAAAAAAAAGCCCTCAGTGGAAATAAGAAACAGTAAATTCTAGTTCTGATGCTAACATTCCCTCTATTTAACTAGCCTTTATCAAGTACTGACTAAAGGCATTTTGCTGGGAGTGATACTAGCTGTAACGTTGAACAAGTCATGAACTATTGTTCCTCATCTGCAAAGCTATGATTTAAAATCTCTTTACCTGACTCATAAGATTGCTCCACAAATAAGAAGTAGATGAAAGTGCTTTGAGAACATAAATGTGCTAGCCAAGTCATTATTAACATGATTTTAGAAAGTAAATCCATTTTCCTCTTGTTGCTGCTTTACCATACAACTTACCATGAATATTTTACTCATTACTAATAAAAATGTGAACCACTTAATTAGTGGAAAATTCTTAACATAGCATTGTCAAGTTCAGGAAGTCAGCCATGATGTAACAGAAAAACTGTCAGAAAACTTAAGTTTAAGGTTTGGGTCTTGCCTGTACGAACTGAGTAAACCTGCTCAAATCATTCAAACTCTTGAGAGTTATTTACTCATTTGTAACTGAAATATACTTATTTCACAAGGAATCATTTATGAGGAATTAACATGATAATATCAGTGGCATGATAATCACATATTGAACCATGTGATGGTAATCAGTCCTTTTGTGAACTATAAATCACCATCAACATATAAGATGATGACATAATATTACTTGAAATAGAATTTGAAAGTGACCAAGTAATCTATTAATGAATTTTGTTAACATTTAAATTGGGACAAGCAGTCTTAATGCCTGAGCATGTAATGTTTATTTTAACATTATACTTTTCCAATAGATGTGCTACACAAAAGATGGAGCATAGTCTCTTCACCAGAAAGGGAGATCACCTTGGTGAACCTGAAAAAAGATGCAAAGTATGGCTTAGGTAAGTCACTGAGATTCTTTTTATTTATTTGACAGAGACAGAGCGAGAGAGAGAACACAAGCGGGGGGGTGGGAGAGGGAGAAGCAGGCTTCCGGCCGAGCAGGGAGCTGATGCGGGACTCGATCCCAAGACCCCAGGATCATGACCTGAGCCGAAGGCAGACACTTAACGACTGAGCCACCCAGGTGCCCTAGTCACTGAGATTCTTAAAGGGATGTAAGAATTCAAAGAGAAAAAGTGTATAGTATAATACTGGCATTGAGGCACTAGCCCACTTCGGATCAAGATACTGGTTGCCCACCCACAGCCCCTTCACCTCACCCATCCAGTCAGGAAATGTGAAAGATGAAATGCTTACAAGCAAAACTTCCACTGAATTTAACAGTCCCATTTCACATGTGTTACCTATTTATCATATCTGATAGAAGAATCTCTACACTCTGTGCATTGGACAGACTGCTCATTAGTCATTGAAAGCACCAGTGTCATGAAGATCTTTCTTAAATGTGTTGTTTCATAGGATTTCAAATTATTGGTGGGGAGAAGATGGGAAGACTGGATCTAGGTGTATTTATTAGTTCAATCACCCCTGGAGGACCAGCTGACTTGGATGGATGTTTAAAGCCAGGTACTTTACATCTAGGTAATTTCCTAAGTACTTAACTGACAGGCATGAATTTGCATAGATGGCAAAAGTAGAACTCGGGCAAGACAAAAATAATGTCGGGCAGTGACATATCTAAGACTTAGCATGAATTTCTCTTTGTTTTTGAAAATACTGGATTGTCTATTTTTACAGGAGACCGTTTGATATCTGTGAATAGTGTGAGTCTTGAGGGGGTCAGCCACCATGCTGCAATTGAAATTTTGCAAAATGCACCTGAAGACGTGACACTTGTTATCTCTCAGCCAAAAGAGAAGATACCCAAAGGTAATGTTGTGGATGTTTCTTAGCTGTGTATTGTTTCACTTCTCATAAGAACTTCAATATCATGGATTGGATTAAAGCTCCAATTGGATTTAAGCTCCTTATTTCCTTTCTGAAAATGTAATATATGTAGCTCTGTTTAATATACATTAGTGTAACTTTTCATTCATCACTTCCAAGATTTTCTGTCTCATTCATCGTTAGTACTATATGCATAAAAGTGGATTTATTGTGCCAAATTGATGTCACTTAAGTAAATTTTGAGTACTTGGTGCATTCCATCACTTCATAGGCCAAATCAGAAATAAAATTCTTTACCCTTGTCTAATTAATATAATTATGTAATAGTTATCTATGAAGTCCTATCCTGAACAAGATTGTAAAAAATGAAAGGATAAAAACATTAGAAATTTTAAAACAAGACCATATCATTTTGTCTCATAATTCCTGCCGTTAGCATGTTGTGGAAGAAAAGGCACTTGACCAAGATGAGATGACTTGAGTTTGAGCCATGGTTGGTTTTCGTTAAGGAGGAGACAGTGACCTTGGCTCTGCTTGTCTACCTTGCACAGAGTTGTTGAGGGGCTCAGGTGGCGAGGCAGTGTTTGTGAGAGAAGCACACACAGCACATGCAGTGGGAAGGGCTCCAAAGTCTAAGGTCAGATTCTGTCTCCACTGCTTAACACTGTATACCCTGAGGAAATCATTTGAACTTGCTAAGCCTCAATATGCTCATATATCAAATGGTGAATACAGAAGTGCTTATCTTGAAAATTAAATGAGATAATACATGTAAAGAATTAGCACATTGCCTGGTACCTATTAAGTACTTAAATGTGAGTTTTAGCTGTCATTATTAACAGCATTTTTCAAAAATGTTCTAGTGCTAATTATGTGCAAGTTACCTTCATCCCAAAGATACAGAGAAATATGTAAAAGAATAGTTCAATATTACCTGAAAAACAAGTTTAGATAGTGAATTTTTGGCATAATTTCAAACAATTATGATACAATAGAAACAAAAAACAAACATTTCATATAGTATGTTGTGACAGAAGACTTTCTTACATTGTATACAGTTGAGTTATTTTGACTGTGGTTTCTTTTATTCACTAAATATGTATGTGTGTGTGTATATATAAAATATGTACATATATAAATAATATTATCAGTACTTGTTACTTGAACAAACAGGACAAATAGAAAACACCATCACTGCCCAAAAGAGCCTTATAACCTAATTGTAGTCCAGTCATCTTAGGCAAAGGAAGGTGATTACCTTTGAAAATGTGGCATACTCAGAACTATTCAAGCAGCCAAGAACAAAACAAAACCAAAGGGTTATTTTATTCACCCTTTTATAGCAAAAGAAGCATATGAATTCAGAAGAAACTCATTTTCCCTCTAAATAAAGCTCTAAGGGACTCCCATCTTGATTTTCTTTTCAATAGATATTTTATAGAAAATGCATTCATTTGTTCAACAAATATTTACTGAATGCCTTTGATGTGCAGGACACAGAAACTCTACCCTCATGGGACTTACACGTTGTCAGGGGAGACAAATATTAGTTAGAACAACTACTAAACAAATGTTTCATTGTAATTATGATAAATGTTAAGAAGTCCAAGGTACCAAGAGCATTTAGCAGAGAAACTTTACCTAGTGTAGGGAGCAATAAAGCTTTTCTTTTCAGCAGAATTTCATGTGGTTATTTTATTTTTTTACTATTCATTCTCAATAAAAGTTAAAAGCATAATGTTATAGTTCTCTGACACTTTTTCTTCAGAAAGCTAGATTAATCTTACCATATGTGTAGCTATACTGTAATGTAACTTGAAATAAAACTCAAAGAACCTAGAACATTACCAGCATGTACGTTAGGCTATCCCTCTCAAGTATCAGCCACTAAAGAGGAAGGTTTTTATTTTTCTTTATGTTTACTAATGTTTTTAAAGTTATAGAATACATGCTAGTTTGTTAAAATAAATCTAATTTATACAGAAATCAATGAGGTAAAAAGTAAAAGGTCTCTTACCCCATTTTCTAGGGAAACTTTGGTGTCTGTCACTTTATGTATATTAGAGATAAGTTTTTGAAAAAAAAAATACTGCCTGTATGTGTGTATACACACACACACATAGACACATAAACACTTTTTTTAAACTAAAAATGCAGTTATTTTTTTATAATTAAATACCAATTTGCAAGTTGCATACTCTATATTCTGAACATCCATGAATATACACATGTGGCATTATATTTCATGTCATGGGTGTATCAAAATTTAATGTTTTTCTTTTATTGTATATCCAGTTTAGCTATACTTCTTTTACAAATGTGGCTCCAACAAATATACTTATATGTATACCATTGGAAAATGTACATATTCCTAGAGGTTCAATACCTAGAAGTAGATAGCATATGCACATTTAAATTTTCGGCAAGTGCTATCTATTTGCCCAAAAGTTTAGTCAGCCATGTAGATGTGACAGTGTTCTCCTCACACCACCAGTGGTGTGAAAAATTATCAGTCGTTCTCATTTTTGTCACCCACAGAGGTAGAAAACTGCATTAAACTGCACATCCCTGAGCAACATGAGAATGTCTTTTCATATATTTATTAACTGTATTTCACTCTGAATTTCCAGTCTACTGAAAGTTGTTGCACAGGAGTTTTAAATCTCTTTCTTACTAGCTTTTAGAAACTCTTTATTAGGGATGTTAACTTTTTGATTATTTTTTGTTATTTTTGCAAATATTTTCTCTCCAGTTGCTCATTCCTCTTTTAAGTTTTCCTTGGTTTCACTTGCTAACATAAAACTTTTAATTTCTTATAAATTTGCATCTGTAATTTTTTTACTGAAATTTATGATTTGTGTCTTTCTTAGGAAAGCTTTAAATGGCTCTTAATAAGAACTATATTTATAAGGAAATTGGAGTTGCCTTGGTAATTATTTGGAGTCCAAAAAATGCAGTCTGGAAGGACAATATAAAATAAGTAAATAAATAACCATTAAATAAGGATCAAGGAGTTTTGGTGACTCAAATTATTTCTAGTGAGGGAATCAAAGTCCTCACAGAGGAGACTCATTTGAAATAGGTATTGGAGAATGGAAATGGGGAGTTAAGGCAGGGGGATATATGCATTTTTTTAGAAGATGCAATAGGAATGACCAAAAGAGGGGGCAAATGAAACAGAAAGCACCTGCCACATTTGTCAGGTCCTCATTTTGGCTCCAGGCCCTGAATCAGGTGTTGTAAATATGTTACCCTGTGTAAAATCTCCTCACAGTCATTACAAAAGACTCCGCAAGTGTGTAAGCACAGGCATGTGTGTCACTAACCTGTTATTCTCCTTGATGGATTTTGACTTCTAGGGCCTTCTAGTCCTGTGCACATTGCCAGTGGCATGAAAAACTACATGAAGAAACCTTCCTCCATGCAAGACAGTGCTATAGATTCTTCTGAGGATCACTGCTGGCCACATGGTACCCCAAGGCACATCTCAGAGAGCTCCTTTGGGCTGTCTGGGGGCCTGCGGGAAGGAAGCCTGAGTTCTCAGGATTCCAGGACTGAAAGCGCCAGCTTGTCCCAGAGTCAGGTCAATGGTTTCTTTGCCAGCCCTCTAAGTGACCGAACCTGGCAGGAATCACAGCACGGCAGCCCTTCCCCTTCTGTGATATCCAAGACCACTGGGAAGAAGAGGACTTCTACCGACAGTAATCGAAGCAAAACTAAAAAAACAGGCAGTTCTGATGCAACAGATTACTCTGACCGTGGAGATTCAGACATGGATGAAGCTACTTACTCCAGCAGTCAGGATCATCAAACACCAAAAAAGGCATAGTTTAATTTGAATCTCTGGGGTTTTTTTTTCTTTTCATTTAATAAAGCAAACAACAGCAAATATATTACAGAGCAGAATAATCTATAAACTGCTTATGTTATTCTGGAAAGGAGGAATACTTTATGTACTGTGTTACTAACTGCTACTGCATTTGATGCTAACTGTCGGACAAATTAGCAGCTTTGAATACTAACTCTAAAATGGCTATTATTCTGGAAACTTGCAACCTGGTTACAGAAAGGAATGAAAAATCAGGTTATGGTTATTTTCTACAAGTTGTCTCTTGCATACTTAATGTTTATATTAATAAGAGAATTTAATATCTGAAAAAGTTGTTCCTAAATAGTTGGTATAATGGGCAGTTGACTTTACTGTTGATAGCCTAAATTCTTGTGAAGTTCTGAACATATGAAAATAATAAGAACAACATACAAAATTGCTCATTTCCTAGAAATGATATAAATGTAAACTCATACTCACAAATGGATTCAGCAAAGAACCTTAAGCTATTTATTCACCGAGGAACCAACATTCCTCATAAGAGGGTTATGCCCTTACAAATGGGGCTTAGCTGTTGTGCCTGTGTTTATATTGGATTTGTAAATATAAGCAAAGTAAACATGAAGCCTAATCATCTTAGAGGTCCCAGGTGAAAGCTGCTGCTTGATATATATTGATTTTTAAAGGAAATAGAAATACTTTCTAAATGTGGGAGCATAAAAACATTGGACAAGGATTATATAAAAGCCAGATTTGAACTGGGCTCTGGGCTTCCCTCTGCCTTATCTAGCTGTTTGACCTGAAGCAAGCCCTTTAATCTCTAGACCTCAATTTCCTCAACCATCAACTATAAAGGCATTGGATTAGGTGATCTCTGAGATGGCTTCCAGCCCTTATGATCTTTGAATTTACTCTATCCCTTAATATCTTGCTTTTCCTTAATTTTTCCAAAAAACACATATTGATCTTCCAGTAGTAATTCATTTTGACTCTAACAAGAAATCCTTTTGTTTGTTTTTCTTTGTTAAGGAATCTTCCTCCTCAATGAATACATCCAACAAAATGAATTTTAAAACTTTTCCTTCATCACCTCCTAAACCTGGAGATATCTTTGAGGTTGAACTGGCTAAAAATGATAACAGCTTGGGGATAAGTGTCACGGTACTGTTTGACAAGGTTTTCAAATGTTTTCTCTTCCTCATTTCCAGCAGCCTATTGTATGCCAATTTATTATTTAATTATTTTGCTTCAAAAGGGAAACCTGTCAAATATTTCCCAAATTAAAAATTAAATTATATCTTAAAACTTTTTTTAAAAACGTATGCTAATGATTTTTCCTGTGGTTTAAAAGAAATTAGACAGATGCTACTCATTTAAACCCCGTAGATTTCATAGTGCTTAATCTGAATATAAGGCTAAAAAAATAACAAAATTAATAAGTATGTTTTGCATACATTTGACACTTCTGCGTGAGCATCGAATAATATATTTTAACCTACATCACAAATAAATTCTAATGTATATTTACATGCCCTTTCTCTCCATAATATATCTTAATTGTAAACATGACTAGTATATTAACTTAGAGGTTCCCAAGGAACATACATACATTTACAGTCTTAAAATTACGAGCATAGGCTACTAGATGAAAATACTTTAGAATTCTGTTAATTCTAAATTGTAACATTATCATTTATGACATTTGAAGGATATTGTTAGTTAGGAAAAGTCATTTTAAAACATGGTAGAAATAGCACTATTAACATAGAGGTCAAAAAGAAAACCTAATTTTTAAGCACTTTTAAAAATATTGTAACTCTTTACCTCTTGCCCTTGACTTCTTTAGAATTTTATTGTCTTCATTTTGTGAAGGGAAATAAAAGCTGTGCATCCACAAGAGATAGAGAATCTACTCAATTAGATCTCATTTACAGTATAACAAAACTAACCTACCAAAGCCTTTTAAAATGAAAAAAAAAAAGTTCCTTGACTCATAGATTTGCAAGTTGCAGTTTAGCAAATATGATCTGAACTAAATTATTCTATATGCTGTTTTTTCCTGACAGTCATGTTCTCATACTAATTTCGCATAGATGGATTTTGTTTTCTGCTTGCTCATAATGCATGGTGTAGACTTAGAAAGGGAGAGTGATTCATATAGTAAAGGCCTGGCATGTTGTTTTCTGAGTAAAGAGTTTTTCTAGAGTAACTGTTTTACATTTGGAAAACTTGGCTGGAAATATTCTTGGATTTTGAATTAATTGCATGTGCTGATGTGTTGCTGCTTTGGCTGATGAACTTCCTGCTTTCTAGGTCTCAGATTTGAAAGATGGAGTGTGAAATTTTCCATATGACAAAATGTTATTTTATTTGCCTTTTTCCACTTAGGGAGGTGTGAATACCAGTGTCAGACATGGTGGCATTTATGTGAAAGCTGTTATTCCCAAGGGCGCAGCTGAGTCCGATGGTAGAATTCACAAAGGTAGAGTGTTTGTGTGTGTACAGGAATTATACATAGGATTATCACTTCAACAAATAAATAAGAAATTAGAAAGTTGATAGAGACCTTCAAATATTCATAATATAAAATAAGAACATATTTTTTTAAAGACTAAAGCATTATTTTAAGACTAAAGCATTAAAAAACTCCCTGATGTCATTCCAGAAACTCTTCTTTCCAGCCTATTCTCTAGTATCAGAAAATATCTTGACAATGATTTGTACTTTCTGAGAAGCAAATTGCCAGGAAATGGGAAAGGAATAGCGCCCTTGTAAAAACACTGACATCTACATTTTTAATAAAAACTAGGTTAATTCCTTCTGTCTCTCTACATTTGTAGTCAGTTTATCTTTTTCCATGATTTACATAGATTCTATAATACATACAATATCTTGTTCAAAATTGTATTTAAGATTGATCATAGAATTTGAAAAGAAAGTAGATACATGACTTTGTCCAGAATTTGTCTGAGTCTCTCCTCAAATAAATTAATATAAAATAATACCACAAGATATTAAAAAGCATATAGTATCTTTATCTTATCATTTGCTTTCTTCCAAAATTACTGCTTAATTTTATAGGTGATCGTGTCCTTGCTGTCAACAGAGTTAGTCTGGAAGGAGCTACCCATAAGCAAGCTGTGGAAACACTGAGAAATACAGGACAGGTAATAACAGCTCATTATACCAACCTTTTAAGATTTGTTAGAAGAACATAATAATGTGTGTATAATATCTGTCTCACTGAAGTCTCCAAATTTGTTAGTCAAGAAACCAAGCCTGATTGACGTAAATGTTCTGGTATTTTCTTTTCCTTCAAATTGGCAAGCAAGGATTATGACAGAGGTTTTTCACTGAGGAAACTTGGCTTTCTATATCACATTTAGCCCTAATATTACCAGATCTGACAGGAGAAAGGATGGAGATTGCAGTTTTTAAATTTTTTGTAAATATCTACAAATATCTAGTGATTTTCACTTCTAGTCATTTTTCAGACCAAGGCTAAATTATTTTCTGAAGTTTACCAATTTATTTATAATGGTCTGTATATTATAGTAGTGATTTTATTCTAGTGCCCAAATTTCCTATAACATGTTTATATTAATTCTAGAAGAGAAATTTTTTTTTTGAGAGAAAGTAAGGAAGGGGCAGAGGGAGAGAGAGAAAAAAAACCCATCATTTTGAAATTTTCAATCCCTTTGTTTTTTTATTTTTTTCTTCCTCTATATAGTCCTAAAGTCCTAAAAATTTATCTACTTTCTTATAATTCTTCTTAGTTAATGAAGTGCTATTCCATTTGTCCAGGTCGTTCATCTGTTACTAGAAAAGGGGCAGTCTCCAGCGTCCAAAGAACATGTCCCCATGACCCCACAGTGCACCCTTCCAGATCCAGATGCCCAAGGTCAAGAAAAAATGAAGAAAATGACTCATGTCAAAGACTACAGCTTTGTCACTGAAGGTCAGACCTTGAGAGACTGTCATCTCACCTTTAACTTCTTACTGACTTATTCAAAATTTAATTTTTATATATTGGATCATATTTCACACCCGAGTCTCTCTCATTACTCTTGTCAACTGTAAATAATCTGAATGGAGCGCTATACCAATTTTTTTTTAAGACACATATTTGCACCTCTTAGAGTTTGAAAGACCTTGGATAATGAAGTCATGCATAAAACAAATTATGGCCACTTAACAGTGCAAAATTCAAATGAAATTTCCAAGGGAAAAAATAAATATAAATAATTGCTTGAGAATGACTTTAAATCCACATGAAACCTTGACTCTTTACATTTTCCTTATTTTGGTTTAATTTTATGGATTTGTCAGGCTAACCTTAGGCAGAAATACACCTCATAGTCCCAAATAGTGGTCTTTCTTAAAAATTTTGCAAGCCCTTGGACATACCACTACTTGGTTGTAAAATAAGAAAATTAAGAATGATGTAGTTTTTCAAAAGGCTAAAGTGTTCCTAATACAAAAGTACCCTTTATTCTGAGATTCCACTTACCTCATTTTTAGGGGCATAAATGTCCTTTACTTTATAAATGATGGTGGTGGTATATAGTCATTGTTTTGTCTTTTATTTTAAATCCTTATTTGATTGCCAAATGTTAGTACCTCTGAATTAGTCACAAAAATAAGGAGAAAAAATAGCCAGGCCTGTATTATTTTATCTGATTATGAAAATAAAATTAGCATACTCACTTTATCTCACTGCCTGGTATTCTTTATTTTTTCTATCACTCCTTTAAATGTGTTTTTTCATTCTTTTCTGGTTATTATTCTTTCAGTTTCTTTCATTGATGAGAATTTCTTTATAATGCCATTGAAGTTTACTGGAGTAAAGTGTGCCTCACTAAAACATTAGAATGTCAACTTACTTTCCTTTACCCTTCTCTAACATTTGTTCTGCTCTTCTTACCATCTCTCTCCCATTGTATACCCAAATTTCCTTCATTCTCCTTTCCCAGATTTTTCTCTCTTTTTTTATGTTATTCTGCAGGCTTTTAAAATACATGGGATTAAAACATAATTTTATTTTCAGAACCTTGATATCAAAACCCTCTCCTGTTCAAGTGGCTTAGTTCATGCAGCTTAGTTTATTAAGTTTTGTAATGACAGAGAGTATGAGGTTGGATTTGAACACAGAATAAAAGTACAGTAAGTGCCTATAAAGCTGTACATTTTCTGAGAAAATGGGCTTTTGAAGATGTGTCTAAAAGTATATATGTTTGTAAGTTCATGTGTTCATCTTAACATAGCATGTTAAGAATATTTAAATTTTTTATATCTTTTTTTTTTCTCTCCAGAGAATACGTTTGAGGTAAAATTGTTTAAAAATAGCTCAGGTCTAGGATTCAGTTTTTCTCGAGAAGACAGTCTGATTCCTGAACAAATGAATGCCAGCATCGTAAGGGTTAAAAAGCTCTTTCCTGGACAGCCAGCAGCAGAAAGTGGAAAAATTGATGTGGGAGATGTTATCTTGAAAGTGAATGGAGCCTCTTTGAAAGGACTATCTCAGCAGGTGAGTCCCCAGGTGTTAAATGTGGCACTTTTAATAACAAGATGGATTGGCCTTTCATAATAATTTCATAATACTGACTTAACTGTATCTTCATTTATCATTCATGGTACCCCTAGGAAGTCATATCTGCTCTCAGGGGAACATCTCCAGAAGTATCCTTGCTGCTCTGTAGACCTTCACCTGGTATGCTACCGGAAATTGACCCTGCTCTTTTGGTGAGACCTGTGAAAAGTCTATTATTTTTATAGAATAGCAATTGAGTGATTAGTTCAGCTGTAGTGGTTTCATCATTGATTGATCTCCTGGGTTTCATCCTACTTTATTCTTTAGCTAGGAATCTTGTGTGGGTCATGTAGCCTCTGAGTATATTCTACATTGATAATATAAAGTAATTCAATTCACTTTATCTCTCCTTTCCACTTCTAGAATTCTAGAATTTTAGGAGTTTGTTTTCTAAGCAGAATTAGAAAGGGAAAGATATAAAATAATGGTTACAAAACCCTTTTGTCCATTTCTTCATTGAGCCAAACTGGGAAGCATAATTCTCATTCTGAACTAGTTTAGATAAAAATGAAAATTATTTAAGAATTTTTGCCCTTATTTTTAATACTGGAAATTACCGAGTAAGCAATATGCTTGTCCATCTCCCTTTTTATGTCAAAGAAACAACTAAAGGATCCAAAATCTATTCTGATGGTAATTTGTAAATTACATCCATACATAGATGAATAATAATATAATTGAAGAAAGATAACTTTTGTCCTTTCTGCTTAAAAGGGTATTCCATGTTATTAAAAATAAACATGACCCCTGGGTATGAAAGGCAGGAGTGTCTAGCCCCAGAAACTTTGGCTTTTATATGAGGGAGGGGGGGTAGTGTTAGGACATTAATAGAAAAGCATAATTTCTGAAAGTGTATTATAAACAGCATTTTATGAGAATACATTGATTTTGGGCACCAGGTAGGAAGAACTGAATGGAACTCTCTTAATGAGTATGTAAATTGATACAATCTTTCTGGAACGCAATCTGGAAATATTTAACAAGGCCTTTAAGAACATCCTATGTACTGATTATTAAATAGAAAATTACAAGGAGGGGCACCTGGGTGGCTCAGTCAGTTGATCAGCTGGCTACCTTCAGCTCAGGTCATGATTCCAGCGTCCTGGGATCGAGCCCCGCATCAGACTCCGTGCTTGGTGGGAAGCCTAATTTTCCCTCTTCTTCCCATTTGTGCTCTCTGTCACTCTCTCTCTCTCAAATAAATAAAATCTTAAAAAAAAATAGAAAATTACAAGGAAATAATGAGAAACTGAGGTGAAAATGTCCATTTTCACCTGGGGTGCCTGGGTGGCTCAGTAGTTAAGCATCTGCCTTCGGCTCGGGTCATGATCCCAGGGTCTTGGGATCAAGCCCCGCATCGGGCTCCCTGCTCAGCGGGAAGCCTGCTTCTCTCTGTCACACTCCCTCTGCTTGTGTTCCCTCTCTCGCTGTGTCTCTCTCTGTCAAATAGATAAATAAAATCTTAAAAAAAAAAGAATCTCTGGATTTCTATTAATAGTAAAAGTTAGATACAATTTTCTGTAAAATAAAAGAATTCTGAAATAAATGAAAGGTATAGCCATCTGTGGGATCATTACACAGTTTTATGCAGTTTTTTTCAAAGCATATTTAAGGACTTCAGAAAATATTGATGATAGAAACCTAAATTTGGAAGTAAGTTACAGGGGTGCCTGGCTGGCTCAATCGGTGAAGCATGCGACTCTTGATCTCAGGGTTGGGAGTTTGAGCCCCACGTTGGGTGTAGAGAGTACTTACAAATAAAATCTTCAAAAAAAAAGTAGGATATAAAGTACAATATATAGTATAAGTCATGTAATATTAACAGTTATTTTTATATATGATATTTATATATGGTTTTTCTCTCTAATGAGCATAAATTACCTTATTATCAAAATATAATTGCATATTTTAATAGAAAGTGCTGTTCAACATGTTCCTTTTCAATTAAGTGGTTTTTTTTTTTTAAAGATTTGGTTTATTTGGGTGAGAGAGAGAGAGCGCACGAGCAGAGGGAGGGGCAGAAGCAGACTCCCCACTGAGCTGGGATCCCAACTCAGAGCTTGATCCCAGGAAACCTGGATCACAACCTGAGCTGACTTCAGACACTTAACCAACTAAGCCACCCAGGCACCACTCAATTAAGTGTTCTAAAGTTAATATAAGTTGTCACACTCTGATCTCTTTCAATGTATGCATTACAGACCCCACTGCACTCTCCAGCACAAGTACTTCCAAACAACACCAAAGACTCCTCTCAACCAGCATGTATGGAGCAAGGCACAAGCTCAGATGAAAATGAAATGTATGACAAAAGCAAGAAACAATGCACATCCCCATCCAGGAGAGACAGTTACAGTGATAGTAGTGGGAGTGGAGAAGACTTGGTGAAAGCTCCAGGAAAGATACCAAATAGGAGCTGGAGTTCATCTTTGCATCAGACTCTAAACAACATGGGATCACAGGCACTAAGTCAACATGAAACATCTAAGAGTAAAGAAGATGCCATTTGTACCATGTTTTACTATCCTCAGAAAATACCCAGTAAAGCAGAACTTGAGGACAGGTATTGTCAATATTATGTGTAGCACTCAAAGCAATTGGTTATTGTGAGTAATGGGAGCAGCAACCTATATTTCTGTAAGGATGAAATATGTCTATGTGTGAATGAACTTCACAGTGATCAGACAGATGACTGTATTAGATATCTAGTTATTGTGACTGTTAGTTAGCAAACCAGTAAGCTCTCTAGCCTTTTGACCTGAGATTTGCTGATCTCTTGAGCATATTTAGTTGAAATTGGGAAAGTTGTTTGCAATTCATCATCATTCATGTTACATAAAAGAAAGAGAAGAGACCTGTTTAGATAGTGATGGGCAGGAGAGTAGAGAGTACAAATATAAAGGGAAGTTGTTGGGAAGGAGGAGACAGAGTTTAAAAAGATAAGATATAAAACTGCAGAAGATGGGGAAAGATGATTAAAAACATAAAGGCAAAAAAAAAAAAGACTACATTTATACCTCTAACAGTTATTCATACATTTTATTATTTGGTTACATCTTTGTGTATATCCAGGTGCAACCATATTTGTTCAATGTCTTTGGTGTTTGGGGTTTCTTCCCTATTGTATCATCCCAAATAACCACAGAAATAAGACTTCTATTTTTTTTTTTTTTACAATTTTTTTAAAATTTTATTTTCTTATGTTAATCACCATACATTACATCATTAGGTTTTGATGTATTGTTCCATGATTCATTGTTTGCATATAACACCCAGTGCTCCATTGAATACTTGCCCTTTTTAATACCCATCACCAGGATAACCCATCCCCCCACCCCCCTCCCCTCTAGAACCCTCAGTTTCTTTCTCAGAGTCCATAGTCTCTCGTGGTTCATCTCCCCCTCCAATTTCCCCCCCTTCATTTTTCCCTTTCCTATTATATTCTTTTTTTTTTTTTAACATATAATGTATTATTTGTTTCAGAGATACAGGTCTGTGATTCAACAGTCTTGCACAATTCACAGCGTTCACCGTAGCACATACCCTCCCCAATGTCTATCACCCCCAGCCACCCCATCCCTCCCACCCCCTACCACTCCAGCAACCCTCAGTTTGTGTCCTGAGATTAAGAATTCCTCATATCAGTGAGATCATATGATACATGTCTTTCTCAGATTGACTTATTTTGCTTAGCATAATACCCTCTAGTTCCATCCATGTCGTTGCAAATGGCAAGATTTCGGGGGTTTTTTTGTTGTTGTTGATGGCTGCATAATATTCCATTGTGTATATATATATATACCACATCTTCTTTTATCCATTCATCTGTTGATGGATATCTTGGCTCTTTCCATAGTTTAGCTATTGTGGACCTTGCTGCTATAAACATTGGGGGTGCACGTACCCCTTCGGATCCCTACATTTGTATCTTTGGGGTAAATACCCAGTAGTACAATTGCTAGGTCGTACGGTAGCACTATTTTCAACTTTTTGGGGAACCTCCATACTGTTTTCCAGAGTGGCTGCACCAGCTTGCATTCTCACCAACAGTGTAGGAAGGTTCCCATTTCTCCGCATCCTCACCAACATCTGTCGTTTCCCAACTTGTTAATTTTAGCCATTCTGACTGGTGTAAGGTGGTATCTCACTGAGGTTTTGATTTGGATTTCCCTGATGCCGAGCGATGTTGAGCATATTTTCATGTGTCTGTTGGCCATTTGGATGTCTTCTTTGGAAAAATGTCTGTTCATGTCTTCTGCCCACTTCATGATTGGATTATTTGTTCTTTGGGTGTTGAGTTTGATAAATTATGTATAGATTTTGGAACTAGCCCTTTATCTGATATGTCATTTGCAAATATCTTCTCCCTTTCTGTTGGTTGTCTTTTGGTTTTGTTGACTGTTAACTTTGTTGTGCAAAAGCTTTTTATCTTGATGAAGTCCCAGTAGTTCATTTTTGCCCTTTGGCAATGTGTCTGGGAAGAAGTTGCTGCGGCTGAGGTCGAAGAGCTTGCTGCCTGTGTTCTCCTCTAGGATTTTGATGGACTCCTGTGTCACATTTAGGTCTTTCATCCATTTTGAGTCTATTTTTGTGTATGGTGTAAGGAAATGGTCCAGTTTCATTCTTCTGCATGTGGCTGTCCAATTTTCCCAACACCATTTGTTGAAGAGACTGTCTTTTTTCCATCGGACATTCTTTCCTGGTTTGTCAAAGATTAGTTGACCATAGAGTTGAGGGTCCATTTCTGGGCTCTCTATTCTGTTCCATTGATCTCTGTGTCCGTTTTTGTGCCAGAACCGTACTGTCTTGATGATTACAGCTTTGTCTGGAATCTTGATTGAGCTTGAAGTCTGGAATTGTGATGCCACCAGCTTTGCTTTTCTTTTTCAATGTTCCTCTGGCTATTAGGGGTCTTTTCTGGTTCCATACAAATTTTAGGATTATTTGTTCCATTTCTTTGAAAAAAGTGGATGGTATTTTGATAGGGATTGCATTAAATGTGTAGATTACTCTAGGTATCATTGACATCTTCACAATATTTGTTCTTCCAGTCCATGAGCATGGAACGTTTTTCCATTTCTTTGTGTCTTCCTCAATTTCTTTCATGAGTATTTTGTAGTTTTCTGAATACAGATTCTTCGCCTCTTTGGTTAGATTTATTCCTAGGTATCTTACGGTTTTGGGTGCAATTGTAAATGGGATCGACTCCTTAATTTCTCTTTCTTCTGTCTTGTTGTTGGTGTACAGAAATGCCACTGATTTCTGTGCATTGATTTTTATATCCTGCCACTTTACTGAATCCCTGTATGAGTTCTAGCAGTTTTGGGGTGGAGTCTTTTGGGTTTTCCACATAAAATATATCATCTGCAAAGAGTGAGAGTTTGACTTCTTTGCCGATTTGGATGCCTTTTGTTTCTTTTTGTTGTCTGATTGCTGTGGCTAGGACTTCTAGTACTATGTTGAATAACAGTGGTGAGAGTGGACATCCCTGCCATGTTCCTGACCTTAGGGGGAAAGCTCTCAGTTTTTCCCCCTTGAGAATGATATTTGCTTTGGGTTTTTCATAGATGGCTTTTATGATATTAAGGTATGTACCCTCTATCCCTACACTGTGAAGAGTTTTAATCAAGAAAGGACGCTGTACTTTGTCAAATGCTTTTTCTGCATCTATTGAGAGGATCCTATGGTTCTTGTTCTTTCTTTTATTAATGTATTGTATCACATTGATTGATTTGTGGACGTTGAACCAATCTTGCAGCCCAGGAGTAAATCCCACTTGGTCATGGTGAATAATCCTTTTAATGTACTGTTGGATCCTATTGGCTAGTATTTTGGTGAGAATTTTTGCATCCATGTTCATCAGGGATATTGGTCTGTAATTCTCCTTTTTGATGGGGTCCTTGTCTGATTTTGGGATCAAGGTAATGCTGGCCTCATAAAATAAGCTTGGAAGTTTTCCTAACATTTCTATTTTTTGGAACAGTTTCAGAAGAATAGGCATTAATTCTTCTTTAAATGTTTGGTAGAATTCCCCTGGGAAGCCATCTGGCCCTGGGCTCTTTGTTGGGAGATTTTTGATGACTGCTTCAATTTCCTTAGTGCTTATGGGTCTGTTCAGGTTTTCTCTTTCTTCCTGGTTCAGTTTTGGTAGTTGATACATCTCTAGGAATGTATCCATTTCTTCCAGATTATCTAATTTGCTGGCATTTAGTTGGTCATAATATGTTCTTATAATTGTTTGTATTTCCTTGGTGTTGGTTATGATCTCTCCTCTTTCATTCATGATTTTATTTATTTGGGTCCTTTCTCTTTTCTTTTTGATAAGTCTGGCCAGGGGTTTATCAATCTTACTAATTCTTTCACAGAACCAGCTCCTAGTTTCATTAATCTGTTCTCCTGTTCTTTTGGTTTCTATTTCATTGATTTCTGCTCTAATCTTTATTATTTTTCTTCTGCTGGGTTTAGGCTTTATTTGCTATTCTTTCTACAGCTCCTTTAGGTGTAGTGTTAGGATGTGTAGAAAGACTTTTATTGCTATATACTTTCCACTTAGGACCGCCTTTGCTGCATCCCAAAGATTTTGAACAGTTGTGTTTTCATTTTCATTTTTTTCCGTGAATTTTTGTAATTCTTTAATTTCCTGGTTGACCCATTCATTCTTTAGTAGGATGCTCTTTAGCTGCCATGTATTTGAGTTCTTCCCGACTTCCCTCTTGTGATTGAGTTCTTGTTTCAAAGCATTGTGGTCTGAAAATATGCAGGGAATGATCCCAATCTTTTGGTACCAGTTGAGACCTGATTTGTGACCTAGGATGTGATCTATTCTAGAGAATGTTTCATGGGCACTAGAGAAGAATGTGTATTCTGTTGCTTTGGGATGGAATTTTCTGAATATATTGGTGAAGTCCATTTGGTCCAGTGTGTCATTTAAAGTCTTTATTTCCTTGTTGATCTTTTGCTTAGATGATCTGTCCATTTCAGTGAGTTGGGTGTTAAAGTCCCCTACTATTACTGTACTGTTGTCAATGTGTTTCTTTGCTTTTGTTATTAATTGGCTTATATAATTGGCTGCTCCCACGTTAGGGGCATAGATATTTACAATTGTTAGATCTCTTGTTGGATAGACCCTTTAAGTAGGATATAGTACCCTTCCTCATCTCTTATTATAGTCTTTGGTTTAAAATCTAATTTGTCTGATATAAGGATTGCCACCCCAGCTTTCTTTTGATGTCCATTGGCATGGTAAATGGTTTTCCACCCCCTCACTTTCAATCTGGAGGTGTCTTTGTGTCTAAAATGAGTCTCTTGCAGACAGCATATCGATGGGTCTTGTTTTTTTTATCCAATCTGATACCCTGTGTCTTTTGATTGGGGCATTTAGCCCATTTACATTCAGGGTAACTATTGAGTGATATGAATTTAGTGCCATTGTATTGGCTGTAAAGTGACTGTTATTGTATATTGTCTCTGTTTCTTTCCGGTCTTTGTTATTTTTAGGCTCTCTCCTTGCTTAGAGGACCCCTTTCAACATTTCTTGTAGGGTTGGCTTTGTGTTTGCAAATTCTTTTAGTTTTCATTTGTCCTGGAAGGTTTTTATCTCTTCTATTTCCAGTGACAGCCTACCTGGATATAGTATTCTTGGCTGCATATTTTTCTTGTTCAGTGCTCTGAATATATCATGCCAGTCCTTTCTGGCCTGCCAGGTCTGCTGCCAAACTAATCTTTCTACCATTGCAGGTTATAGACCTTTTGTCCCGAGCTGCTTATGGGATTTTCTCTTTGTTTCTGAGACTCATAAGTTTTACTATTAGATGTTGGGGTGTTGACCTATTTTTATTGATTTTGAGGGTCATTCTTTGTGCCTTCTGGATTTTGATACCTGTTTCCTTCCCCAAATTAGGGAAGTTCTCTGCTATAATTTGCTCTGATATACCTTCTGCCCCTCTCTCTCTTTCTTCTTCTGGGATTCCAATTATTCTAATATTGTTTCATCTTATGGTATCACTTATCTCTTGAATTCTGCCCTCATGATCCAGTAGTTATCTCTCTTTTTCTCAGCTTCTTTATCTCCATCATTTGGTCTTCTATATCACTAATTCTCTCTTCTGCCTCATTTATCCTAGTGGTTAGGGCCTCCATTTTTTATTGCACCTCATTAATAGCCTTTTTGATTTTGACTTGGTTAGATTTTAGTTCTTTTATTTCTCCAGAAAGGGTTTCTCTAGTATCTTCCATGCTTTTTTTCAAGCCCAGCTAGTATCTTTATAATTGTCATTCTGAACTCTAGTCCTGACATCTTAGGAATGTCCGTATTGATTAGGTCCCTCTGGCAGTCAATACTGTCTCTTGTTCTTTTTTTTTTTTTTGAGGTGAGTTTTTCTGTCTTGTCATTTTGCCCAGAGAACAGATGAGAGAACAAAATGCCAACAGACTTGTATTCTTTTCTTATTTTTTTTTCTTATTCTGTTGAAACACACATTAGGCTTCTGACAACTTTAGCTTCAGCCTTGAATTAATAACTAGGAATCAAAAGTATATTTTTTAACCTGTCTTACTAATTTATGCAGCTTAAAGAGCTTCAAAATAAAACCTGAACAGAGAATAAAAATTGGTAATGTTAGCATATAACAGATATGAAATGAATTCATAGTCCAGAGTCAGGGAAAAAATAGCTAGGATTGCAATCAAAAGCAGACATGAATATTTGTTAAGCATTTTCTGTTTGTGGCACAAACTTACTATACTGGATTGAAAGGTATTTGAAAATAGTCTTGCTTCTTTGTCTGTGTAGCAGTCCTCCTTCCCCTCTACCACCGGACGTGACTCTTGGGCAGAGCTATCAACCCCAAGCAGAATCTGCTTCCACTAATTCAATGGATAAATATATATATCACATTTCTGAACCAACTAGACAAGAAAGCTTGACATCTTTGAAAAATGACTTGGAAAACCACCTTGAAGACTTTGAACTGGTGAGTTGTTTCCTCTGTATTAAGAAAATTCCGTATTTTCTGAAGTAAGATGTAGTCACACACAATTTCCCTTTAGGGAAAAGGCAGTCTTTTAAAGTAGCTCCATATCCATGTCCAGTAAGTAGATAACATGTCTGGTGTGTTTCTGTGCTGTGAATCTGAGGGAAAGGCAAAAAGACCTGGGTATAAATCCTGACCCTACTACTGACTTGCGGTAATTGGGCAGATGCCTGTAGAATTACTTAATTCTTCTGAGCCTTAGTAGGTCTGGGTATAAAATGGGGCTAGTAACCTCATAGGATTGTGGTAAGGATTAAATGAAATATACATAGAGCACCTAAGACAATACCTACTATTTCCCAAATTCTGATGAGTTACCTATTTAATTTTTAATCAAGTTTACGTGTAATTTTTTTCTCCTCCACACTTTTTTGTGTATGCCCAAATGGAATCCTTTACATTGTACTAATAGCCCTAGGACTTCTAAACCTTTACATTCAGTATGGAAGCCAAATGTCCAAGAATAATATCCTTTACGTAAACTTGATTGAATCAGCCTTTTCAATATTGTTTTTATTATCCAAGTAATAAATATTTATTGTAGGAAAATTAAAAAGCAAAAAAAGATTAAAGCCATTGATAATCTCAGCATGTAAAAATCATAAAGATCATCTTGGAGTTAATCTCTCCAGATACCTGGTTTGCCTAGAAGCGTGTGTGTGTGTGTGTGTGTGTGTGTGTGTGTGTGTGTGTGTGTGTGTGTGTGTGTGT